CCAACGAAGTGATTTCAGTTTCAGTACACTGTACACACAATTCAGAACGTAATGGAAAAATAGACTGAGCACTTCGTACGTGACAAATAATAATGACACAACAGGACAATAAATGAATTACATGAGTCAGTAAGAATGGTGTTTATTATAATGGGTGGGGGATTCAAGACATTATTTTATTTTTAAAATTATTAAATTTATTAATATCCCAAAAATGGCACTCTTCCGACTACCAGTCCTAAATGATTCACTGTGAGAAACATCCCTTTGAGAGCCTTAAAAGGTTCTATAGTAAAAACATTCACAAGAATAATTAAATGAAGACGCTTCCTAGGTGTGTAACAGTTGTCGGCACAAATGAGTCACACTTGAAGAAATCATAACTATTTTAAATAGTATTTAGCCTTTCGTTGGGGGATTAAATATCTAGAATGTGTGACCCTTTTTTTTTTTTTTAAATCTTTAGGACTTGGCAAATTTGATCTTAATCAAACTAACAGACAAATACAGTGTATCGTATCATTTTTTTAACAGACATCTGATCCTTATTTTTAACCCAGCATGTGCATTTAAGCAAATTATACTCATTCGAAAATACAGTTATAGTCTTCATATTCTGATAATTTCTCTTATGGCATGCAAAAATTAATCACACCACACTGTTAAGTTTGTGAACAAAACTAAATGAAAGTATTCTTTCTTCTTCTTTTGTTTCCTTGTAATTAATTATCTATATCTGTAATGTTGTCTCTTGTATGAACTTCACTGTCTTTTGTTATTCTCTTAACGACTCGTAAAGTATGGCTTGCACTGGTTTTTCTGTTGAATTATTGATACCAGCAGTAATGATCACTGTTTACAAATATAGGGATAGAATTATTATGAAGATGGGAAACTTATGTCTACATAATTTATTATAGAAGGACAAAGTCTGTAGCAAGCATGCTCCCTCTCTCTCTCTCTCTCTCTCTCTCTCTCTCTCTCTCTCTCTCTCTCTCTCTCTCTCTCTCTCTCTCTCTCTCTCTCTCTCACACACACACACACACACACACCCACAAACACACACCCAAATATATATAATTTGCATACTTGAAACTCCGATCTGTTCACAGACCAGGTGGCTTTTACTCCTTTCTGTTTTCCAGCTGAATTGTTTAAACATTGGTTGTTTGATGCATTCAGATTGCAGTTTACCTTAAGCTGCAGAACATATTGCACTGCATGGAAGGTTTTTTATTTTTAAGCAACTTAAACTTATTTTGTTTGTTCCTTTGTTAAGGACTCATATCACTTGATTAAATTATATAAGTCTTTACTTTCTTCTCAACTATAATCCTTCCTTCTAGTGCTCTTCTATATCTCTCTAGAGCTGTGGTCTCCAATCTTTTTTAGGTGGCACCACCAATGAGTATACGGCAAGACCCTTGTACGGCAAGACCGTCACGCCCCCCCCCCCCAGTACATTGCTTAGACCCTCATGCTCCTCCCCCTTTGAGTGTATGACAACCCTTACAAAATAAAATGGGATTAAAAAGAGGAGGACAAAAGATTTCGCCGCAAGGGAAAAGCCAGTATGGAGATATGTTTGGTTCGGAGTGTATTCTTAATTTTTAACTAAGTGTTATCATATTTAATTTTTTTTTTTTTTTGCTGTAGATATATAAACTGCTTATGAAAACAAACAAAAATGTCTGTCTTTTTGTTTCTAAATAGTTTTATAAAATATGTTATTCTTTTATTTATTATTACACAAAAATAATAATATAATAAATTATTATAAATACAAATGCACTCAATTTCTAAATTGCTGGACACCCTACTTGAAACCCCCTCATGTACCCCTAGAGGGACTCACCCCAGGTTGGAGACCATTGCTCTAGAGGTTCTGGAGAGACATAGAATGGAAATATTTGCTGAAAGAAAAAGTGAACTGTTTCAGCCATAATAGACATAGCGCTATTTTTAAACCCATACCAGAGAAAAACCTGTATGTATGAGAGTGAGAGGTAGACAGCACTACAAGTGGCTGGACACCAAGAGATCGAATAACAACAGTTTGAGAGGGTGTAGAACAAAGACAAGAGACAGAGCATGCTAGAGATTTATTTAAGTCATCCTTCACTGTGCGTGGCGTCCGTGGCTTAGGCCTTGTGAGTGCGACTCGTAATTCAGCGTACTGCAATCGAAACCCACTGCTGGCTGTGTGGATTTTTATCATGGTATGGGGCATCGCAGGTCGACCAAACCTAAAATGGGTACCAGGATGGATGTCCTAGGGAAGTTAAGACGGCCGGCATAATACTGACCACATTACCCACCTAGTGCCAATGGTCTGAAAAATTATGGGTGCTCTTCTTGTAAACCCGATATGCCTAAAGGCATGAAAAGGGATCTTTGCTTTACTTATCCTTCACTGTGGAGATAGCACCGGATTGATTATTCATATCTCTATGCAGAGACTGGTTGGCAGCTGAAATTACCACATCAAACACATACCTAATAATTCTAGCCAGCATCCCTCAGGGATTTATAAAAAGCTTACAGTTGCATACCATGGTTCAAAACTGAACTCACAGCCTTCACATTGCATGGGAATGCAACCATTTCACAATGGAAAACCTCTGTCAGTTGTGATGATTGCCATGTTGAATCAAGTCTCAGGAAAAGCATCTTAAAGTTCCATTTGCTGCCTTCACTTGTCTTCTCAGCATGGTTCTATATTGAAACATTCTCCACTCTTGTTGGCTCCTTTCCTCTTTCCAGAAGATAGGGTTATATTGTCCTATGAGGAGGCATGGGACTTACAGACCTTGATGGGGGTGTGGGAGTGGGGGGGGGGGGGTATGACTAGCAAGACCCACCCATGTTGAGAAAAGTCTTCCACAATAAGAGCAAGGTATTTCAGGACCATTGTGCTATCACATGTATTTAGTGTGCTTTTTCTCAGATGCTCAGCTCTGCAATCATTCTTTTCCTTCATTCTTATTCCCTTCCTGATTTGCCTCCTCCAGGCTACACAGTCCTTGACATTTTGTTCTCTTAAATCTACCTCAATACTTGTATCATTCATGTCCTGCTTGCACACATCTTGCACATGTCTTTATATCATAGTACAGGCTGGCCTTGACATCTTCTGCTCATCTGTAAATCACCATAAAGGATGTCAGTGACTACTATTCTCCAGGTTTGACCCAGTCATGGAAACTGAGCATTGTGAAAACTGTTGTAATAGCTGCTCTTTCAATTACCTCAGTGTTTGTGATCTTTATCTCACTACTTAATGCCAAGTATTCTTCATAGACATTGCATATTAATGATATTTAGCAATTTCTCCTAGTGCGAATAAGTTGACCAAGTTTCACTCCGATAAAGAAGGTTGCTGAGAACACAAACCTGACAGGCAAGAGTTTTTATTTTAATCATCAGCTTTGTTCTCCGCTCTGCCACCTCCACCTGACAGTGAAGACCTATCCTAATTTCTTACCTTGCTATGCTGATCACCAGTATATCTTAGGAACTCATACTTTGCAGTGTTATCCGCTGTCATCCTCCATATATAGACAGAATAGCTATCTGTCTTTTTTTAAAAATGGAAGCATCTAATGTTCTCAGTGCTGCCAGTACCCCATTTTCCTCACTTTAGAGTGAATTCAGTGTGTGATGTTTGTGTGCATGCTTACCAACAAGCCCAGGATTTACCTAGACACCCAAGTCGGCCTAGCTTGAAATTAGTTTATGAAATGTGGCAAGTAAAGTTGACTGGTGTGATAATGACTGTATCATCCATTGAGTGCTGATTGTGCTATCAAATACATTGGGCTAGGACCAGCGCTTATTTTGGGATAAATTTAGTTTTTCAATAAAAGGTGCCAATACTTACCAATAGCACTAAAAAAAAAAGCTGCCAGTAGTGAGTACTGCTAGGAAAAAAACACTGGCTAGAAACATATAAAAAATTTACTCTAAGGTGTTGAAAAAAATTATCATTTTCTGTATGACGTACATTTGATTAGTAAAATATAACACACAGGTTCACAACTTAGCGGAAAGGCTTAGTAGCATTTCAGGCTTTGCAATAATTTTTAAAAGGTAGCTTTTGTCTTAAACAGTGTTCCAAAAAATGATTACTTTGCAAACAATTAATGTTATTTATCATATATTGGTTATTTTGTTTTTATTTGTTTGGGACAGCCAAGCTAATATCACTATTTAACCATATTATAACAGTAATGGATTTTTCCTGGTTTGCTTTCAGCCAGAAGTATTGAATCCTGGAACTTCCATTAGGATTATATGTGAGATTTTAGGAAGTTTTTGGGAACAAACCACTCATTGCGCACTAATATGATGTGTTAAAGACTACTTACTGAAACAAAAACAAAATCACACAAAAGAACTGAAGACATTATGTACCACATTAAATAGAAAAGTGTGTGTCTTTCAAGTTTCAAACAATGAAACACTCAGCTTGGCTAATTGAATAAAAATATGGGATTATAAAATGAAACTGATGGGGTGAAAATGGCTAACTGTGGAGACACTTAGCTTTTACATAATTGTAGATTATTAGTAAAAACACTTGATCTAACTTACATAGGTAGAAAATAATACCCAGCATTTTAAAAACACTGAAGTTAAAAAAAAAGTGCAGTGTTCCTTCACAATTAAATATTTAATTAAAAAAACTAAGTCACACTGATGCTAACAATGAATATGCATAACTTAATTTTATCTAGCATTATTAAAAATCGATCTTTAGATTGACTATTAACTTTCTCGTTGTTTTAAAATGTAATATTATATTAGTTCTGGTCTCATTTGTGCTGTAAAAAATTTATATTGTTTCTTCATTTAGATTTGTATTGGTAATGACTGGCATTATGCAACTTCATGTTTAACACAGAAATTGTGGTATGCAGCTGATTGTCAACCTAATGGCTTTCAAAGACATTTTACATAATCCATGAGTGTCAGTGCCTGGCAAGGCGGATAAGTCGAGGATGAATTTAAAGAATCTGTTTCAAGATTTTAATCCCAGGTTTGTGAGAAATTACGTTCTGTTTTTATTGTGTATTTGATGTTGATAAAATAAAATTGATTGAAAAAAAAAATAATTGATTTATTAAATCAGTATTGATTTGTCACTTACACTACATGCACCAGAGAATTGCACAAAGAAGAATAATTATGTTTTTTAACCATTTGGAGACAGAGCCTTTTTAGAATTTCAGTGCCAAGAAGATGGAGTCTCCAGGAAGGGATTTTCTTTGTTTACACACACACAGTTATAAAACATAAAGCATTTAATTAACATATACAAAACTATATATTCATGTAGGAAATTGAATGAACTAACATAATCTCTATGATTCATGCTGACATCCCAACATTTATTTAAATTAGCTATCGAATTTGCATATTTCTGCATGCTTTTTATTTTCATTATTAGGAAAAACATGACTAAATTGAACAATTTGGCTAAATTTTCTTATGATTGAAGCCTGAATAAGTTCTTACAGTTGTGCTTTTCCTGCTTCCTATATTTTGGTTTCTGTGACGCAAGTGTCCTTTTTTGCCACTGATGGACACAGTTCACCCACCGCCTAAAAAAAAAAATCAATGTAAAATTACAGAACACACCAATCTTTCACGAAAGCTGTCATTGAACAGCCCACATTTGCAAGAAATGCAAAAAGCAATCTGATTGGTTGGTATGCAGACCAGCCAGCCAATCTCAAGGCTTGTATTATAGGGCCAACCGATAGGCCCATTCGTCCTATTTTTGGCTATTATCTGTTTCGCCGATAGATCAGCCGAGGGTTAAGAATGAACATAACCATTTAATTGTCCTAAGGTTTAAAAAACTGTTTCAATTTAGACAACTTTTGTGTGTGGCAAAAACAAAAAATCAGTGTTTTGGCATACTTAATTTATAAACATACACATTATAGGTAAAAAAGATGATTGCATATATTATACAACAGTAATAATTTACAACACAACAACAGCTTGCATTAACCTGTGAGAATTAAACAAAAATGATCCTTAAAAACAATTTTTCACAAGCACTAATAAAATTTGGGAGCCGCTATGGTGTAGCGGCTAGTCGTTTGCCTGCGGATCTGAAGGTTATGGGTTTAGATCCTGACAGAGCCTGACTTTTTTTTTTCAGAAACTACTTTGGCTCCCAGGTCGAGCGAGCCTTAAATGGGTACTAGGTAAAGTCCTAGCAAGTAAAGATGGCCAGCATGAGCTGACCACATCACCCACCGAGTGCCTATTGGTCTAAAAAATATGTCTAGCCCTCTATGCCAATTATGCCTGAAGGTGTGGAAAAGAGTCCTTTACTTTTGTTTAACTCATAAAGTATGCAATATTTATTTATATGCATTGAGAATTTAACTCCCTAAAAAACACCAAAAAGGAATGAAAGGTACATCAAGGAAAGCCTACATATAAATTCCAGTGATAATTAATTGAGATTAATAACCTAGCCGTAACTAAAGGACTGCAGATAAGCAGCACCAGACTTCAAATAAAAAATATTCATAAACAAACCTGGCAGTCATTTGACAAGATAACTTATAATCAAACAGATCACACTTTAATAAATAAATGAAATGCATTAAACATATAAAAAGTTAGAAGCTATAGAGAAGCTGAGTGCCATAGTGACCACTTCCTGGTTGGTGCAAAATTAAAAATAAAGTTTTAAGAGATCCTTCTACACTAAATTGCAAAGATCACATCCAGAGTACAATAGAAAAGACTACAAGACAGTCTCAGAAATTTGCAGATAAACTAAAAGTGAAATTTTACAAAAGCTGCCAGAGGAAAACTTTGACCAAACCTGGATTGATATTAAGACTATAATTCAAACCCCTGCAGAAGAATGCTTAGTGTGTCAGCCATAAACGGAAAGAACAAATTGTTCAATAAAAGATGTGAAGAAGCATAGTGAGAAAATATGAGACAGATGCAAGGAATACTTTGCTGAATTGTTAAATTGTGAAACTCCACTAAATACTTATCCACAAGAAGAGACACTAACATGTGAACCAAAATATTGAAGAGCCTGATTGTGAAGAAGTACTGTATGTCATAACAAAGCTTACAAATAATTAGGCAACTGGTGCTGATGGAATTGCTGCTGAACTGATAAAAGAAGAGGGTTATGCTTTGCATTTAAAGATATATGAATCAATAAAACTAGTTTGGAAGACGAAGAAATTATTCCAAAATTGGAAGGAGTCATTATTAGCACCCATTTTAAATAAAGGAGACAAATATTAATATGAAAATATTTAGGAGTGTCACTATTTTCCGTAAGCTGTAAGATACTATCATTGGTACAGCTAAACAGGCTAAAACCGTATGTTGAAGATATATTGAGTGATTACCAGGTTGGTTTCCGACAGAACAGATCAACAGTAGATCAGATATTTATTTTACAGCAAATAGCAGAGCAAAATATGGTAATACAAAAGAGATGTACATAATTATTTTATCTTCTTCTTCAGCATTCTGAGCGCTTGAGGTTCATTGCTGCAGATATCACCTGCCTCCATTAATCTCTCTGGTTAGCCTTCTTTTTCCATTCGGTGACACCAAGTGTTTGCAGGTCTTTCTGGAAATTATCTCTCCATCATCTTCTTGGTCTGCCTCGTGGTTTATGACCATTTATTTCCCTTGTGTATACAGTTTTTACTTCTCTGTCATCTGACATTCTTTCAGTATGCCCAAACCATTTCAGTCTATTACCTCTCATGATGCCAGTGATCAATAGGGATTTAAACAGATTATGAATTTTGTTGTTGCTTCTCACTCTCCATTCCCCACTGTTTGCATCTTTGATGGGTTCAAAGATTCGTTGTAGGACTCTGTTTTCAAAAACCTGTAATAAGGCTTCATCTCTTTTGGTAGTGCTCCAAGTTTCAGAGCCATATGAAACGACTGGTCTTATCAACATTTTAAATATTTTGATCTTGGTGTTGCCAGACAAACACTTCGACTTTAGCAGGTGTTGAAGAGCATAGTATATTTTATTTCCAGATTGTATTCTAGATTGTATTTCTTCTCTCAGCATGTTGGAGCAGTTGAAATTTGCACCCAAGTACTTACATGTTTCCGTTTGTTTGAATTTCATATTATCAACTTGTATGTGGCCGAAGTTTATATCCTTTCGCTGACTAGTTATTATCATGTATTCATAATTGGCATAATTATTTTATGGAATTTAAAAAAGGAATATGATAGTGTACATAGAAACAGTTTATGAAATGCTATGAAGGACTTTGAAATACCAAAGAAGTTAAACTCCGTGACCAAACTATATATGGAAGACACTCAAAGCAACATATAAATGCAGAAAGTCAGACCCTTTTCAAATAACATGTGGTTTAGAGCAAGGTGATGCTCTGTCCCCACTTCTTTTCAACATTGTCCTGGAGAAAATTATAAGGAAATTTGAAGAAGAGTGTACTGTAGCAGAAACTACAAGAATGCTTGGTTATGCAGATGACATTGATATCATTGGAGAAAAGGAACTAGATACAGCAAAAATACTGAGTCTCTTGAAGGACTAGTTATCAATCAAGATGAGACACAATGCATAGAATAACAAGACAGGGAAAGGATAGTAACTCGGGCCTCATACAAACTGATAAAATGAAAATCAAACGAATGGAAACCTATAAGTATGTTGGTGCAAATTTCACCTGCTCTACGTACTATGAGAAGAAATATAATCTGGTGGGAAAAAGTATACTATACTCTGCAACATCTGAAATCAAAGTCTGTCTCATAACACAAGTATCAAAATATACAAAACGCTGAAAGGTGCATTTATTTTATATGACTTTGAAACTTGGAGCACAACTAGAAGAGATGAAGCCCTGTCACACATTTTTGAGTCTTATGATGATTCTTTGGACCAATCAAAGATGCAGACAGTGGAGAATCAGAAGCAACAGCGAAATTCATAATCTGTTGAAATCAGAAATTACCATCATGAGTTAATAGACTAAATTGGTTGTTGCACTTTGAGAGAATGTCAGATTTACAGAGAGGTAAAAACTGTGTACGCAAGGGAGCTGAATGGTCTAGATCATGAGGCAGACCAAGAAGATTGGGAAATAACATTCAGGCAGACATACTAGGTGGGCTAAAATTGGACCACAGAGCAATTGTTACTTTCTGTGAGGCTGGTGTAAAATTACTATATAATCTGGCTCTTGAGATCACAGTATAGCAGAACACAAAAACATGCATTCATATGCTGAAAGATATAAAATCTAAATATCAACATTAGATTATTTAACAAAAATATCATATTACAAGGAAATCTGGGTGTTGTGTTTATGTTATATAATATATATGTTTATCTATACAGTCCTTGACCCGGTTGGTGATTCTAAATTTGGGCCGTGAACCAAAAATGGTTTCCCACTCCTGGTAAAGAGAGTGAAGCTTGAGGTGAGAGTGCATACCTGCATCCAGAAAGATTCTGTACTGATGCTTTGGCCAAAAAGACATAGGTGTCTCAACCTTACAGTAATAGGTCATAACTTTGCTGAAATCATTTTCAGGACAAGTTGAGAAGTAGTAGAAGAAGGATAAGGACTTGCATAATTTCAGATTGAGTGATCTCAGGTTGTGATGCTCAACTTTCAGGAATGAATATATATCAGTACTGCATTAACCACATTCATTCTTCCAAAACTCTACGTATTTGATTAGAGACATTAAAAAGGCAATTGGTATGAGGAAAAAGAAAAAGAAATTGCATTAAAAAATGTTTGTAACTTATGTAAGTTAAATTAAGGACCCATTGGACACATGGTGCGTGACTCATATTTGTATAAACCAGTCAGCACTCGTTGAGTGATGTGGTTGGCATTATGAACATGACATAACCTGGTACTCATTTCCAGCTAGGTCCACCTGGAAGGTAAGGTCATTTAAAAATTAAAAATTTGCAGTGTGTAAATTTGAACCAGAGGTTTTGGGCTGGCAGGCAAGTCTATGCACTATGCTACCACAGCTCCAGAATGATTTTTTAAAATTGATTTTTAATTTCATAACTGCATGAAGTTTGGCACTGTTAATTTCTTACAGTTATTTATTTATTGAGTTAAAAAGTGTAAAAGAATCATTTGGCTGTGCATATTGAACGCCAACAAAAATGACAAATTGGAATTTGCAATCTGGTCCTAACATTGAATTCAAATGAATATGCTAAGTGGGAAAGCTGATCAAGAATTGATTCCTAGAAGGGATAATTAAACAGAAGCATGTTTAGATCAGTACAGACGATGTAATGCTGATGTGAATTTTCTATTACTTTTTCATGAAAGAACATTAACTCTTTCAGTACGAGACGGTTTAATGAGGGATGTTTGAAGTGATGAAAAAAACCTTGATGAATTAATTCAAACTGGCAATATACACCCTAGTAGTGACCATGTGAGGAGGCCAGATTTTATATTTAGTATGTTCGGATGAAAAAGTAATTTAAAAATAAAAGTAAGCGCACATATTATTTTAAGAAGTGAAGTCAAGAAGTAGAGCTATTCACCCGCCAGGCATTGCTTTGGGAATGAAAGAGAAATTGCATTAATGAAATTAAATGAAAAACAAAATCCTTGGCAAAGTGACTGACAAAGGAATGTGTATAGGCCTAATGAAAAGAAACCTACCACTGACACTGATGTCATCAGCAGCACCACAACAAGCAGTACATGATATTTTTCAAACATTGGGGGGGGGGGGGGGAAAAGGGGGGGGGGGGTTGTCCATAATTTTTGTGTTTAAGAAAAATCTCCTACAGTTTGAGCATGGGATTTTCGGATCAACATTGCTGTTGCATTGTTTACCGTACCCATATGCATGCAGGGTGTCCACAGTTGTGACATGGGCTACCTTAGCCTCTTTTTACATTGACCTTGTCTATCAGTTCTTTTTCTCTTCTGCCCTTCTCTCAGCGAGGTGCTGGGGAGAGATGTAAGGATCGTTTGTGTGCTTTTTCCAGTGCAGTGTACAAGTTGGTGCTCATTTCTGTTAGGTTGCTCCTGATTGTTTTGCTCGAACTCTTGTGTGGTCTTACCTTGCTCTGTGTTCATAACATTTCTTCAGAGTGGCTCTCTGTGGCAGTTGGTACCAGGGCATTCTTATCAGGGGGCAAAACCATCTAATTTATTGTTCTTTAATGAATTGTATGACTGGTTTCAGTCCTAGAATTTAGAAAAATTTAGTAGATGTGAGAGTGTGCGAACTAAGTTCAACAAACAAGACCAGTATAGAGAAGGAATGTTAAATATATGTGGCTGGGGCAACAAAGCAGAGGAGACTGTAAAACTGAAAGAAGAACGCCAAGTGGAGATTTTAGGTTTTTCTATCAGTACATTCATTATAAACCACTGTAATAATTTAAGCTCAGAAGATCAATTTTCTTCTGTAGAAATTGTCAGCTGGTCCATGATTCACATCCAAATATTGCAAGAGGAACGATTCATGTTCTCAAACTTTTCAGTTTTATTTGTTTGCTGGCATTTTGCTATAGGCTTATTGTCTGTGCTGCTGAAAATGTGTATAGTATATACCTCATATAAAAAATGGCTGGTGACTGGTTGCCACAGATTTATAATAAAGTGTGCCTTATGCATTAAGGCTGCTGCTTCCGTTAACCATGAATAACAATTCTAGTGACACGGTAAAGATGTTGGCACCTCTGGCAGATATCTTTTGCATTTAATGCACGTATGAGGTGTTTGGTTTTGTCCAGACTGCAGTCTGTTTGACATTACACATAACACAGTGTGTAGTTTTTCATTGACACTTGAACAGAGAAATTATGGGTTGATCCATCTGCAATAAAGTTGGAACCTCAACTGATATCCAGACATACATATTAGTAAATGTTGCGTTTTTTAAAGTGACACACTAATCCTTGTCATTGAAAGTGTTAAATCACATAGGCTTCTGCTATATGATTTTTTTTTAATTTGTGATGTTGGTTGATAGTAGAAGACAAAGTGAAGGCGGTTAATAGACTCAAGAGTCCTACCAAACACAAACATTGACACTGATCATAAACCAGTTATAATAAAAAAGAAGGCTGAGTACAGAAAACCAAAACATAAAATAGTAACTACAGATGTTATCAACTTTCGGAGACTTCAGGATAATACTGTTGAAGATGAGATTAAACAAGAAATGACAGTTACTATAAATAACCTTCCAGGCGAATATTCAGACATCGATTCAGAGTGGACATGTTTTAAGACAGCTATGCTCAGCACACTTCAAACCAGATGAGAAGTCAGAACGAAATCGTGTAAATCGTTTAAGAACTATTTGGTAAGACAAAGAAGTTGAAGACAGCATATCCAGAAAGAAGGAGGCATATAAACCCCACACGCAACATAGATAATTTTAACTTTGTACCTCAAAGCTGCAAACAAGAGGAACCAAATTTTATAGCAAGGGTAGTAAGAGCAGTTATACAGTACAGCCCCAGAAACAAAGCACCAGGTCCGGATGGAATTAGTACAGAAGGGATCCAAGCATGCAGAGAAGTGGGTGTCAAATGGCTAACTAAAATTTTTAATATAGCTTGGAAAGAAAGAAAAGTCCCAGTAGAATAGTACCGTTATGGATAAAGAAAAGTAATAGGAGAGAATGTGAAACATACAGAGGTATATCACTACTGAGTCACCTAGAAAAAATGTACGTCGAACTACTAGAACGGAGAAACCCATAGCCGAACAACAGTTGAGTGCATCACAGTTCATTTTCAGAAAAAGCAGAGGATGCACAGATGCATTATTCGCTCTGAGATAAGTGTGTGAGAATGCTACAGAGTATAATACCCAACAGAATATTTTGTTTGTAGATCAGGAAAAGCCTTTCGATAGAGTTGATAGAAACAAACTGGTCTATTCTTGAGAACTATGGGGTACAAGGATAGTTACTAGAGAACACCATAGCCGTGTACCAATCAAGAAGATATATCAGATATGTTCACAGTCAACACAGGTGTGAGACAGGGATGTGTGCTCTCCCCACTTTTTTTTAAACGTTTATATAAACAGAATATCTAAAGAAGCAAGTTCTGATACAGACAGCATAGATCTTTATAATCATGGGGAAGTACACATCAGAAGAAGTAATCAATTCACCCACATTAAACAAACTACTATTTGCTGATGACCAGTGCTTGTTCTACCCTGAAGAAGATGGACTGCAAGACCACATTAACAGGTTAAACTCAGGGTGCAGTAAATACAACATGAAGATCAATGCAAACAAAACCGAACAATTCAAGTTAGTAGAACCCCTATACACATACAGCTGAATGGTTCTGGTCTGGATCATATTAGTGAGTTTAAATATTTAGGAATTATGATCATGGAAGATGGTAGAATTGACATAGAAATAGTAACCAGATATCAGAAAGCAAGTATACTTGTATACCAATTGTCACCATTATTAAGACATCCAAGCATAACTATGTGTGCAGAAAGGCAGATTATAAACATCATATTCATTCCATCATTAAGCTTCCAGTGCCAAACATGGACACTATCTAAAGCCCATTTTTGCAAAATCACCACCTGCGAGATGAGATGCCTGAGAAAAACAGCCAACCTAACCATATGAGATCGAGTGAATAATGATACTATCAGAACAATTGGGGGAACGACACCTTGTAATAGATTCATCGAGAAACAACAGATCAAGTAGTTTTGGCCATCTCGTTAGAATGCGGCAAGACCAAATACCATCACAAGCACTTATCTCAGAAGATCAGCTACAAGAGTAAGAGGACAGCCGGGGAAAATATGTATCAACAACATTAAAGACACCACCCCTTCACGGCATGACAATAGCAAATTATTCCTCCCCACGACACTTAACGGCAGAAGTGGTTGATGATGATAGAAAATAACTTTTATTTCTCATTTTTGTGCATCTTTTGAATTTGTTGTAAACTGCTTTTCCTACAGCTTTCTTATTTGGCCTTGGCATATTTGTTAAATTAGTTTTGACATTAACATTTACTGTTACCTGTAATGTTTGATATTTGAAGATATTATATTCCAGTTTGACATTGAACAATAAGTTCTGTTTTGCACTGCCTGTCTCTGTCTTTTATGGGCTATTTTAAATTTTACAAACTGTTACATTAAATTAGGAATTGAGCCTGGTTATAAGCATTATTTATAAAAACTCAACAGATTTAGATGGATGCCGCATGTAAATTTAAAATAAAAATTGTTTTTTTTATTGCAGCAAATTTGTCGTGTTCACTTGCTTGTTAATCTTCACCATTCTGTTCTCCTTACGCCTTGACAACAACATTAAATGGAGCTACTGGTTTGTCTTTTTACCTATATGGGTTTGGAAAGTGTTGGTTGTGATCGGTGCATTTATTGGTGGCTCAGTGTGGTTCAGAAACCCACTTTACAGGTAAAATTTAATAAATTTTGTGTATATATTAAGTTGTTGTTGGCACCATTCTGTCTTTCTAGATGATAAGTGATATACTATATTATAGGGAAGTATTGGAATCACAGCTCATTATCGGGGTGAGTATGACTAGTGAGACATGGTTGTGTTAAAAAGTCTTCCACAATACGAGCAAGAACGTTTGAAACCATGGTTATTATTGCATGTATTTAGTTAAGTTGAGTCAAGAATTGACATCACAGCACTCGGGGCATTCCCATGCATGCTCTGTCCTCATCTTCAGCAGCCAGCAAAATGTCCCAATACTGATGGTACCGGTCACAATTTGGTTATATGTCAGTCTTGCCTTTCCTCTGATTTTAGTGAGCCGGCCAAACCCTCTGGTTACACCCAGGTGCCTCATTCTCTCCAGGCCATAATAATCTTGTTTCTCTACTGATTCCGTTGCTTGTTCCCAAAGGCCTTGACCACATCTACCTTGTCATGTATCAATTCACCACCCAGTGGTGCAGATTCAGCCAATCTGTCTGCCTGTTCATTACCCACTACACGGGCATTGCCTGGAGAAAAGATCCAAAGTATGCTCACTACCTGTGACCTTCCCAGTGAAGCTTGCCACTCTGCTCGAAGCGTCCCTGTCTTCACCTTCTCAGCATGCTTTCAGAGTCTGTTACAATTACCACTTGTGTATGCATCCTGTTCTCTAGCCAAAGGAGAGCTGCAGTTACTGCCTGTATTTAGTATGCTTACATACATACATCTATGTGTTTAGTAGAATTAAGAGCTGTCTCCTCATGCACCAAGCTACTATCCTCTATCCATGATAAATATCCTAGTGTTCTTTTCAAGCACATTAGGTGCTCTGATTGATCTGAACAATAGATCCACACACATTTCTGAGGCTTAAAGTCTCACATATGATACGCACTTATGCCACATCTTTTTAGTCTGAAGTTTCTGAAGTATGGACTAAGAGTTAAAAACAGTAATCACTTTTGTAAGTGAAATATTGAAAAGCTATATTATTTATGAGTGACAGCCATGATCTCCATTATCCTAATGCAGGTGATTATTTCATAGTTTTCATTCTGTTTGGTATTGACAGTGTCTCACACTGGCTGAGAAACTGTCTCCCAATTTTTAGCATGCAATGTAAATTTACCATAAAAACAATACAGTTGGGACACTGAAATTTCTTGCAGAGAGAATGATTAAACAAAATTGCTCCCTCTTTGTCTGCTTTTTTGATTATTAAAAGGTGTTTGCCAGAACACCAGGAGCACCTGTATTAGAAAAGCTATTTATTAAAACTAATTCTAAATTTAATTGAAATGAAACCAAGGGAAGGAAACTAACATTGGCAGAACAAAGAGACAGCTGGAAAATGAATAGCAGGGGACATCCCTATGTAGATGGACTCACAATTGAAGGAATATTCTGGAAATGATAAAACCATTCAGTTAAAGAAGACCTAAAGTCTTCCTTAGCATGCCTCCTGTTAAATCACTGCACATGATTGATAAAAAATGTCCACTTCTTATAATATATCACACACATATTTGCCTGTTTGATAACTATTTAAAGAAGATGATGAATTAAGGAAGGTTGAACCCCCAAAATGAATTTTATTAAATCTACTGGAAACAATACTTTCTGTAGGTACATACTGGTTACAGATTTAAGGAAAATAAATTGTTTTGCTAAAATCAACATATTTTCATAGTTATTTTTTGAAATGTCATACTTAATACAATTTCAATACTTACAGATATATTGATTACAATAGTTTAGAAAAATTATGTTGCAACAGTTCTAGTCACCGGTACTATTATCATGTCAACTCTTCGTTGGTTACTGGAGAAAGGGACGGAGTGCATGTGGGAATATCCAGAGTGTAGTGATGTCAATTCCTTATTCATTCATTCATTTATTCATTCATTAGCCCACGGTGCAGTTGAGGTTTTAAAATCCTCGGCTTTTCTGGAAGCAGCCAGGGAGCATAACAACAACATTTCTGGCATACTTAGATCAGATATAAATATTGGGTAAACAACCATTTCAGCATCCTAGTCTTCGAGACTTAGAAGAGCAGAGACTTGTAGCATAGACCCTCACAGGAAGAACCTTCAGTTGTGGGTATGCCAGCTCGGCACTAGAAGAAGAGGAACCAGTCACATTTTTTATAAGAAAATATAAAAAAACACTCACTACCCTAAACCCTTAAAAGGATGCATGTTGCTTTTCTCAAAGTCTTTATCTTTTCTAACATGCTTGAACTAAAGTTTGTATATTTGCTTTTGCTATAACCTCCAAGGATTTTCTGCTTTCGCTCAAAACAGAGCGTCTATTTAGTTAACTCAACGCACTTGCAAGAATGATCAGGAAGCAGTTGTTGAATTTCCACCTCAGTAATTGCTGCTGACCATTCATGCCTGGTACAGATCTGACTTTTCCCCTCCTTGTCTAGTGTTCTCAAGTATGCACGTTTTTCTGATTTGAAACTTCTGCCTGAGGCTTCCTTACCTTTTATTACTTTGTAACCTTCAGCTGTATCCAGGGAATCATGCAAAGGTTTTACTGTGTGTGTTCCCGCGCGTGCTCGCCTGTGTCTATGGCTACTTTGCGATATGATCTTGTCTGCAGCACCTTTAGCCTGTCTGCAGCACTATTTTCCAGCTTACATCTGTAAGGTACATAGATATGCTGATGGTACAAAGTGAAATATTGGCTTGAAGGATGCCAAGTCAGAAGTTATAATGTTATCTAAGAAAAGAATTGTGCCCTAATGTTTAGTAATAGTTATCATTGTTTTTTTTTTAAGGATAAGCACAAAAGACACATAATTAACATCAGAGTAATAAAAGAATTCTTGCATGCTATATAGAGCCTGTGATTTCTGGTCAATTAATAAATAAGCCAAACAATTTCTTGAGGCCACAGAGATGTGATTTTACAAAAGAATGCTTACAATTCTTCGGACAGCCAAAATAAGTAACCCAGATGTTTTGAAAGGGGCAAGGGCCTGAAGACAACTGATCACAAACATGAGAAAGCGACAGTCGTCTTTTGTTTTTCTCGCTTTTATAGAAAGGCAGAAACTGAAACATGTTGTGACAGCTGGAAAGACTTGTGGAAAGAGACCTAGAAGACAACTTGAGAAGATTTTTGATTGCTTTTTGTCAAGGAGGTGTTTCAGTACATAAACTAATGATACGTGCTGTTGGAGACTACAGGTTATAGAATAACATGATCACCCCCAACGGTTGGCATGTCACTTGATGATGATCACATCTGTATGGCAGGTTATAGATACAGGTTATTTCACACACATGAAAGAAGAAAATTGCATTTCATATCTGCACTAGTTATTTGACTACACTGCATTACTATTTCAGATCAGAAACAGGAAGTTGCAATCAGTTCAAAGCTATGGTTCTGTCTTGTGGAGAACATTTGGCTCTTCTTATGTTTGAGCTACTAGTTGTTGTCAATCTGGAATCTGGAGGTCATGAGTGGCTGCTTGTATTCATCCCATTGTTCATTCTGTCAATATTCTGTATAGGAGCTTGTATTTGGTGTGTTAAGAATGACCGAACCTGTGAGGTAACAAACTTGTATATTGCTTTGTCTTCATTTTGTTGACTTTATAAATAATTTTTTTTTTCAGAGAATTGTTTCAAAGTTGTATATGTGAATACCCATGTTACTATCGGGAATATTACTGTAGATATCTAATGATTTTGACTCAACTCTTTCAGTTCCAGAAGGCATCAGCCCCTGGTTGAGAGTAAAAAAATGACCTTAAATCACAAGAGCATTGTGTTTTTAAAGGTTAAATATGCAGCATCAAGTGCCTTGTTGACTTGTGAGGGTGATAATTTCTCTACACAATCTGTACTCTTCAACAGCATATATTACTTCATGTTCTGACCACCATTCAAACCATGACAAAAGGCTGTGAAGAATCTTCTTGTGTTGACTTCCTTTATCTCTTTTTCCACAGATCTTTCTAGTGATCACAAAATTTTCCAGTTTCCTTCTTCTCATAGTATCACACTAATGACCTCTTTCAGAACATCTGGGTTGCTGTTTGTTTTACAAATCTGCATCACTAATTTTTGGTTTAATTATTTTTCTTATTCTTTTCATGACTATTCTCAGTAACTTTGTCACAACTGAAAAGACTTATTGTGCAGTAGGCTTCATATTTTAAAGTGCCTGATTTCTTTGGCAAAGCATTAAATTAGGGATGCACTCAGGTCGTAAGTCCCTTGATAAGAAATACCATTCCACAGTCAAGACTGTGGTGTATGACCAAAGAGGCAGAAAACACAATGGATCTAGAGTTGACAATCTCGATTAAAAAAAACCAAGCCTAAGGTTGACCTACGTACCAATTGGCTGAATGGCAGCTGGTTTTGCAATCGCAAGCATGGAACATCTGGTTGGCGGGTGGGGCGGCACCATGCGTTTGGACTTCTTCGGGACATCCCCTGCCTCTTCCCTAGCATTGCAACATCTTCAGCAAGCAGCTGATAGAGTGGGGAGAAAAGAAGATGAGGAAATGGGGAGAAAAGAAGGCATTTAGAGATAGGAGAGTAGAACCCCACAGAGTTAAGTGAAATTGGAATGTCTGGGATTAAAACATATTAGAGTAGGAGTACAGAAACTTGAGGTGTCAAGCAGAGAGTGCCTGTGCTGGAGAGGCTAATTTATGATTTTGATATTATCATCCTTCACGAATTAAATGTAGATAGATTTAAGTGTCCTAGATACATCAGTTATATAAATCTTATTTTATGAGGAAGACTTGGGCAATTCTGCTGGTGAAGAATGGGGTGAAGCATGTGGTGATTGACCTGGGCCAGTTGAATAGAAAGAGGGTCAGGGTATACAGATAGATAATGGGGGCAAAACTTGAAATTTAGTAAATGTTTACCCTGCTATTGACTCTCTTGAGACCTTATGATGCAGACTTGGCTATTGATGCTAGACACAAAATGGAGTGTCCTAGGCGATCATGACTCCAGTCAAGCTCATGATCGTAAATGTTAATGCCTGCAACAGGAAGGTAGGTGCGCGTCAGTAGCAACCTTTGCCTATCTCAGGGAAAGAAATAGCATCTACTGGGGGAACTTCAATGCCAGATGAAGCCAGTGGGGTAATGTTATCATCAATAAATGGTTGAAGATCTGGAAGATGCTCAGGTATCTGCTGAGCTGGTATGCTTGAATAATGGGTATGGCACTAGACTGGCTACTCGACCAGGCGACTCTGACAGTGTCATTGACTTGGCTCTGGTGTTGATCAATGTCACTCCTCTTTGTAGATTGAACATGTTGGGATACCATGACAGCGACCACCTGCCTTTTTTCGTCTTGGATGAGAAGAACAGGAAAAGCAACCAGAGAAACAGAACAAATGCTTTTCAGTATGACAACACAGGACAGGATGCCGTCAGCAAGGTTCAGTGTTGTAAATTAAGTAAGCAGCAGAAAAATGGATCAAGCCACCATGGCAGAATAAAGGATTTGAAAGGGCATTGCTGTTAAAGAGGCAGGCTGTCAGGGTGTGGCAGAAGGCCAGGAAGAGTAACACATCACAGCCAGATTTCCTAACTGACCTGAAAGATAAACTTAACAAGATGACCACCTCATTTAGGCTAAGTGCAACACAGGTCAGAAATGAGAAATGGAATGAGTACTGTAATAAAAAATGCTCGGAAGGGTCTCTTGCAACATTTTGGTGACTTCACTAGGCAATGATTGAAACCACTTAACGTTAGGAATCCCAGACTTTCAAAGCACAGATCTGACTTGGCAGAAATCTGATGCAGACAAAGGACATTCCCTTCTTCAATGGGTTTATAGCAGACTGACCAGAAAAATGAGGCAGCCAGACTGAGAGTTAATACGCACTCTCTGAGTTGTGCGAGAAGGCAGAGCTGAGTGATGACTATGTTATCTCCACTAAGACCATTCAGACAGTGCTCAAGAAATCACACAAACAATGCCCGATATGTCAGATGTCAGAGGTCGACATGACAGAACTCACAGGAGAATTCATCGCCAGTATCCAGAGTGGTCAGATCATAGAGGAGTGGCTACAAAGCTACTTACTACCGCTGCCAAAATCAAACAAAAACTACTCCAAGATGAGCAGCTACAGAATAATTACGATGCAGAACACACTGGGAAAACTTCTGGAAAAAATATCTCATAGACTCAGTGATGGCTTGGAAATAACTGGCAGGTTACCATCCACACTTGTAGCATAAAGGCTCAATAAAGAGACATGGCTCAATGCGGCAGTTCTCACGAATAATGTCTGTGAAGGTTTTCAAGCGAAAGAAGAGTCATGTGCCGCTGCACTAGATTTAGCAGATGCGTACAACAGAGTACCCTTTGACTACCTGGTGCAGATTCTTCTCCAACTGAAAATATCTCCCTTCATCATTTTCTGGCTAGCTGCGGCACTGTTCCAGAGATGGGCGGTACCCAGGTGTGGCTGTTGGACCTCAGACCTGATAACCATTTGTCCTGGATTACCTCAAGGTTCTCCCCTGTCTCCAGTCCTCTTTAATGTGTATACATTGCGAAAACATCCAGCAGTTTAATGGGAGTGGCAGGACTCTGTCATTTGCTGATAATTTGGTCTATCAACATTTAAGAAAGCATTAGTGAAATTAGCAGCAAAGCTTTGATGAGAACACACCCAATGAGAAATCTGGGTGTGAAGTTTGATCGTAGTCTGTCCTTCAAAGACCACATTGACCATGTTATAATAAAAGCCCGTAAAGGCTTATCAGCAATGAGGGTCCTGGCCACTGTCAACATCGAGCAGAGACTGGTTCTGCTAGTGTTCCAGGGACTGGTTCTTTCTCCAATCAAATATGCTTTAGCCATACTTACCATCAGCGGTACTCAGACTGAAAGACTGGAAAAGGTGCAACATGAAGCCGTGCGCATTATTCTGGGGTACACAAGAGACATCTTTTGCATAGCAATGAAATATCTTCTTGACTTTCCAACAATGCACCACAGGATAAAGATCTGGAGGACTCATGTATACCTGAAGATAATCTCGGATTTGAAGCACCCTATGCACAATGTTCTCTTGAGGGAAAAGGGCAACAGGCTAAAAAGAGGCAAATCATGGCTCGGTAAGGCAGAATACAATATCATAAGGATCTGCAGTCTTACAGACATCAGCCTTGGCGAAGAATGAATACCTGTGCCCTAGGTGCTCAGCTGCACATGTTCTTGTTTTGTCATGCTTGATAGGAGCTGTCAGGAGCAGAATCCAGTTGCTGTCAATGCAGAGGTCCACGCGCTTAAATGTGGAAATTCAGATGAGGCGGATGTACTGATCTACACAAATCTGTCCCTTGTACATGGATAAAAAAGTGCATGGGCATTTACTGTGTGCTCTGCAGGCAGAACAGTCCAGGAGGCCAGTGGTGCCTTCAATATGACTACTAGCAACATGACAAGGGAGGTGATGGCGGTAACACAAGCTTTCATGTGGCTAACATCGCACGTTTGTGTGCTGAGTGATTCCATGAGCATAATCTAGTGGGTCGAAGCGGGCTTTGTATGCAGACAGTGGATCGAGTCATTGCAAAAACTCCACTGTGTGTGGAGTTACCTTCCTCTTTATCCCAAGTCATGTGGGTGTTGTTGGCAGTGAAGGAGCTGACAGATTAGCCGGCTCTGCCTTGTTACATTAAAGAGGTGGGATGATCAGAGGATTTTGGTAGCAGCACATCCACATCTTTGCTAAGAGTGCAAGAATTGGGAGTAAAGATTGGCACAGCCAGGCACGAGAAGCAAACCGGACGCACAAGAAGTCTTGTCAACGAGCACAGGACTAGGACTATCAACGATGGCATGCTGATGTATATGTTGAAGAGGAATCTGAACACCTATGGACATGTTCGGAGTGCTATGAAGATAACAAAATTATAACTCAGTTAAACAATTACAGAAAGTGCGAAAGACACCTCACAGGTTACAAAAGGATATAGAGAGGCTAGAAAAAGTTAGAAAAGAAAAAGTAGAAGAGTTCAAACATTGTGCAGCAGATGCAAAAAGGACTAAATAGAAATATTTTATGAGCAAAATTGGAAGGGATAAATCACTGGGCAGGTTTTGGAAACTTCACAGAAAGGAAGGATCACCCTATCACGACAGGCATTATATCCACTGATAATGGTATACCAATGAAAACAAAGAAAGAGGGAAAGCATTTTTGGAGAGATTTATAGCACAAACTGATCATAACAATGGGGAACTTAAAATCAGAGATAATCTGCCAAATACTATAAATGATAAATATTTTCGGGATATCATTAGGATGGAGGATATAAAATATATATTGTAACTACCCCAGGGTTCTGCATTTTTACCAGTGCTCTTCAGTGTGTATACCAAGCAAGATTGCACCATATCTAAGGGCCACAGATTGAAAAGTGGAAGGTCTTGGATGGCACAAACAGAAGCCATTATTAGAAATGTGTGCATGCTTGAAAATATTGGTCGAGAAGTTTTCAGAGCAGCAATCCAAACATATTGGGTCGAGAATGCAGGGACTGGCCAGCAGGTGCAGTGGAATCAGAAATTCGACAACTGATTCATGACAGTTCCCACCCATTGATGTGATTATCTTTACCAATGGCTGTGTGTTGAGGGGTAGAAAAAGTTCATGGGGGTTCAAAGCAAAGTCAGATGGATGAGCCTTAGTGCAGCAATTATTGGCATGTGATATCACAACATCTAGTTTGAGAATGTGGTTAGAGGTTGTCACTACTGTCTTCCATTGTCTGGAGAATCAGCTGCACACACACATGTTATTATTGTAACTGACTTGCAAAACATGTTGGGAAAAGTCAAGACAGTGGTGCTTCATACAGAGTGGCACAGTGGTTATTTTCTCCAGTTCATACAAGTGTGTTGGGAAATGAACAGTCGGACAGACTGGCTGGTTCTGCACTGCTCAGTGGTAAATTGATGGATGACAAGCTAGATGTAGTCGAGGCTCTTTGAAAGGGAGTGAACAGTGTGGAGGCACACTTAGGTTATCATGGTCTGAAGGGTATGGTGCACCAGGGAGTGACCAGGGGATTTGTCCAAACCTCCACATTTGGAAGAAGGGCAAAACAGACTACAGATGGACTGTTACTGGTACCATCAGAATTAGAACTCTTTGCTGGCTGCCCAAGATGGGGACGGAGCGCTTATAGAAATGTCCCAGTGATGTTATGTCAGTTCTTAACTCAGCTTCCTTTTCATATGAATGAATTTACAAGATTCCACTGTAATATGCACACTGAAAAAAAGATAATTTTTTGACAGAGAATAAAGATGCCTGTATTGCCATCTTCTTCTTCTTCTTCTTCTTTTTCTTCTGCTGCTGCTTCCTCTTCTCCACTCCTGAACTTTGGTCTTGAGTTTTGCATGCACATCCATTTTACAGATCTGGCTTATTTGTATACAGGCTGTTGGTTCCTGGACTCTCAGACAGATGACCTCCAGCTATGAAGAAAACGTCTCTGATTAGTCGCCTCCTATGACATGCTTGTTGGGGGCAGTATGTCTATTCTTTGTTCTCCAAAATGGAGTCCTGGAACCCACAAGGGGAAGATGCTGGTATAAGATGTGATAGTGTACAGAAATTGCAATAGTCATCATATTCTTCTAGGAAAATACATTAAATACAGCATTTTCAGTTTACTAGCTGAATAGAGTACCTACACAATAGAGTACCTACCAGAATATTAGTTTTAAAGTTTACAAATAGGAGTCTGTGAAAACTAACATTGTTTATTCATTAGGACATTCTTGAAGCAAATAAGAAACATTAACTAGGTGCAGAAGAAATCAGTGTAGTTTTATATGCATTGAGGCAAAATGTACTGGTAACATCGAAATTGGAACTTTTTGCTTGCTGCTGAAGATGGGGACTGAGCACTTATGGGAGTATATCAAGTTCTGTGTTGTCGATTCTTTATTCAACATTTAATATTGAGGCAAAATGCTATCCTACAATTAGGTATTTGGTTATAAATTTATCTGTTCCTTTATCATTATTCCATCAAACCCTAACCATCCACTTTATAAAACCTCATTACTTTATGCTTCACCAAAACTATATATGGCATTGTGCAAAACAGTTTCAGGGTTTAAAAAAAAAGCTGTTGTAATCATCTCTATTTGTTCTGCTTCCATTGCCAGTTCTCTCAGCATGTAAACATTTTTGTTCACAATATCTCCACCAGTAAATCTTTTTATCTGTTTGTAAAGGTTTGTCTTTGTAGACTTTATTTATGAAATCATTGATATGTGTACGTATACAAATGTTTTTGTTACTTTTACATTTTAGCAAACACAAATAATATTGTCATTAACTTGTAGTATGTAAGCCTAATTTTTTTCAGCATGAGATATGACAACACTTGTGAAACTTCATTGCTGAAGTGTTCTTGTAATCATCAGAAGTGATAAACAGATTTCTTTTATAAACATTATCAAAAATGCTATAGTATCTCCCAAATATTTTGTGGGGATTCTATATAGTCGTAAATATGTAGTTATTATACCATGTGAACATGACAGGTGTCACTATAAGCTGCCAGATGATAATGTCAGTATGTTTTGTTGAAGCAATAGACTTGGTTTTTCAAATTCAAGGCAACCCATGAAATTACTGTAGTCAGTACAAAGTTATGGAGTTTGAGCATTTATAGCTTCTCTCTTATATGTTTTCTTATGGAATAATTCTATATATTTCCTTATTTTTGAATGTCTATACCTAACCATTATGTTTTTTTTTTCAGTTGGAGCTATTTTGTGCAGTCAATATATTACAGTTTATATTTTTGGCTCTTCGTCTTGACAACATCATTGTGTGGAGTTGGGTGGTAAGTTACCTACTTCTTCATTTACTTTTATTCACTACTTGTGATAAATTTCATGATGTTCTTATGTTTTTATTTATAGTCTGCTTTTTCCTCTAACATGCTTTTTTTTTCCATCTTACAAAACAATTGATATTTTTGGCATTCATAGGTTTTTAAATAGGTTGACTTGATTGTTTAAATATTATTATTGCCATATCTTTTTTATATTAAGTACTTGTTTTTGTGCTAATCGTAATTTAATCTGTTTCTCTTCTAAACAGTAAATTCTAGTCTTTTTTTTTATGTTCTGGTGTTGATGAGTATAATTTTGTACTGCATTTTATATTCTGGCATTGATGAGTATAATTTTTTACTGCATTTTGTATTCTGGCATTGATGAGTACAACTTTGTACTGCATTTTGTATTCTGGCATTGATAAGTATAATTTTGTTTTCAATTCTTTGAATATTGACAGATCATCCCAACTGTATATAGAATATTCAGTGCATAAGTGCTTCTCAGCATATTTCTCAACATATAGCAAACTTATGACACTATTTCTTTGTTGATTTACTGTTTAGCTTTGACCTCATGGATAGTGCTCTTGTCTTTCATCCCTTAAGACTTGCTTTCTTGCAGTCTTTTTAAAGCTGCTGATTCACAGACATCATTTGATTCATGTTATCGCTCCGCTTCTCTGAAGCTTTGCAGTATATAAGCCTATTCCATGCTTATCTTCTTATCACTATGGCTCGGTCATTATGCCTTTGCACTTTTTTTTTTTCAATCTTTTTAAATGTTTGTGTGTGTGTAAGCATGTCCATATCCTAGGTCATTACTATCAGTTTGACAAATTACAAGCATTTTTATCACTTTGCCTGTCTTTATCAAAAGTCATGTAGCTAATGAAGCCAGTAACCAACAGACACCACACCTGGGATATAAATAAAGCAGTGTAACTAGCCACTTTCAGAATAGATCAAAGTCTGTCTTCAACTAGTGCTGTTGTTGCTCTTGAATACTTATCACTTAATCAGTTCCCTCCACCTCTATTGACCAGACAAATAGAGAATGTAAAAATAAAATAAAAAGTGTAAGTTAACACTCAAAAGGATGAATAAAATAAATGCTACTTCAAATTAAACTGAATTCACTGGAGAGAGCAGTTAAAAAAAAATACATTGAATGATCGTAGAATGTATTGGCCCGCAGATTAGCTAATATACTAATCTAACTGTTCCTATAGCACACTGATCATAAACTTGTTGTTCTCTTTCTCTCCTACCTCCCTCCTTGGCTGATCCACACCTATTTATTTAATCTATTCTCGTGTCTTCTATCAGCACTCATTCATAAGTGATCTTCAGTATGTCTCCTTTGTCCAGTACGAGTGTTCCTGTGGCTATCGCTTTTGTAGCCAGAAAATTTGCTCTTTCATTTCCTCGCACTCATTAATATCCCAGACGTGTCCCTGTAATGCTGATGTGCAATATCCACATTTGTCCATTTTGAACCTTCCGCAGTACCGACTGAGTATCAGTCACTGTAATTCCTCTGGTTACTCTGTTTTCTGCTATCAACTTCAGAGCTGCAGTAATTGCCTCCACCTCCATCCTCATGCATAAAGTTTTAGATACAGTCAACCCATTAATGCTCCCTGTGTATTTGCTGGAATGAGGCCATAGACCCAATGGTATCTTCAAACAGAGCCATTAATGACCTTCCTCTTTTCAACTGGTTTCCTCTAAAATCTTTCAGATTCATAACCTTCCTCGTTCCAACTGTTTTCCTCTAAAATCTTTCAGATTCATGACCTTCCTCGTTCCAACTGGTTTCCTCTAAAATCTTTCAGATTCATGACCTTCCTCGTTCCAACTGGTTTCCTCTAAAATCTTTCAGATTCATGACCTTCCTCGTTCCAACTGTTTTCCTCTAAAATCTTTCAGATTCATGACCTTCCTCGTTCCAACTGGTTTCCTCTAAAATCTTTCAGATTCATGACCTTCCTCGTTCCAACTGGTTTCCTCTAAAATCTTTCAGATTCATGACCTTCCTCGTTCCAACTGGTTTCCTCTAAAATCTTTCAGATTCATGACCTTCCTCGTTCCAACTGGTTTCCTCTAAAATCTTTCAGATTCATGACCTTCTCGTTCCAACTGGTTTCCTCTAAAATCTTTCAGATTCATGACCTTCCTCGTTCCAACTGGTTTCCTCTAAAATCTTTCAGATTCATGACCTTCCTCGTTCCAACTGTTTTCCTCTAAAATCTTTCAGATTCATGACCTTCCTCGTTCCAACTGGTTTCCTCTAAAATCTTTCAGATTCATGACCTTCCTCGTTCCAACTGGTTTCCTCTAAAATGTTCAGATTGCCATGTAGAGGATGTCTTTCATCCTTGGCAACTCACATGTATGCCTTGACATGTGCCAGTGACAGTCTAGACTTTACCTGTGTCAGCTCAAGCATATACCTTTTGTTCTAATTGGTGTATCTCATGTGCACTCTAAGACAATTTTAATTTCTTAATTTTGAATCCGTTAAGGATTTACCCACTGTGATCTGGATAGTGTTAAAATTCCTAGGCCATAATTGGTTACTGAAAGGACAAGATGATTGGTTGAGCAATATGATCAATAGTATCTGCTCCACGTTTGTCGCCACTATCTTTTTCAGTGCCACCAGGCCATTCTTTGATTTGATCACTGTCTTTCCACATGATATTTGTACGACAGACTTCAATCAGTTGTCAGACCCAATTATTTTAAACTATCCCTTCTTTCCAATGCTGTTGTTTAAGCAGCACAACAAAACACTGGCCTTCTCATGATTTACCCTTGACTCAGTCTGTTCACACTACTCTGTCATCTCATGCAATACACTCTATAAGTCTCTGGTCATCTTGTGACTCAGATCTCTTTGACTGACAGGGCATTGGTGGTTAAGTTTCCAGATTGTCATTTTCTTCAGGTGTATTTAGTCTTTACACACCTGTCAGTCTTTCAGCTTGTAGGTTAAGAGTAGCAATTTACTGGACACAAATAGTTTATGAGGTAAAATAATGTGCATTTCTCTCTAGTCATAGACTGTTTACTCCTTTCTCAGTGGTGATATTGAAGAATGAAAGGGATACATATTGCCAGTGACACAATACTGCAGTTAACAATGAACATAGTCTGATTTTCTGGCTCACTGAGCCAGGAGGCTGGAGAGATTGATGCTAGCCATTTCTCTCCCAGTAGTTAGTGATATTCTCTGGTGACATGAAATGGATAACCAAGTAACAAAAAACAATCAGTAAATGACAAAGCATACACTTAATATCTGGATCAAGGCAAGGAATTACCATTTTAGCCAAAAGGCTGGGGTGGTAAAGACTGAAGTTCCCCTCAAGTTTATGCAGATCCCAGCTATTTATAATAACTGGTGATGTGCAGAAATCAGGGTAACATGGGAATAACTAGACCTTGATTGCAAATATGGTCAGCAGGTTGGGGATGTTATGTCAGACGCATGTGTGTTCCTCAACTGTTATGTCTGGGAACATACCTGATAATGAGTATTTCACTGGTGATGGTGTGAGTTGTGATTGATGAATACAACAAGAAATTGGTCATAGAATAGACTGGCTTTAACATGTTGCAATTCTACACATTTCAATTGGAGTAACTGGGCTGCTGCAAGTATAAAATCACCATTCATGCTGCAACTGTGAGAGACAAACAGTTTTGTACTTCTGTAGGTCACAGGAAGTAATTTGGGTGGTGGACAAGGCTTATAGGAGGCCTGTAAGGGGTAGTCCTCAGAAGACCAAGGCTTGGCACAAAGGTATGCAATTGGATAGGCAGATGGACAATTTTCTTAGAGCACTACAGAGTCAGTACATCTGCATTTTGTATAAAAAGTGTAGATTTATTTCTACAGAAGCAGCAGATGACATGAGCAATAAGACTACTTACAAAAGCAGTATAGGAGAGACCAAGAAGTACAGAAGCATACAGGAAAGTGCAAGGAGAGCTGAAGCAGTCTCCAACTCATTTGTGTTTCAAGCATTTATTTTCTATTTAATTATATTCAGCTGTTTTCTGCCTACAAAACATTCCGCTTATGAACAGTGCCAGTGCCGCACCACACATACATGGTGATAGAAAATTCCCTGTCAAACCTCCATCACCATCTAGATCTCCCCCATCAACTGTTTGACGGACACGCCCCCTTCTCTTACTATCGATCTAGATCTAGTTCTATAAGGTTCGAAATTCTCCTCATCACTCAAGCTCTCACAATCTGTGTCACTTGAACTGGAAACATATTCTTGTTGAAATTCTGACTCCTCAGAGACTAAATCAACCAAAGTATTGATCACCTGTTGGACTGGGAAAAGGCTAGAGCTACTTCCCTTTCCTGTTGAAGTGCTTGGTTCATCAGCCGCCTCATTGTGGATTTTCTGAATTTTTTCACGTTAAACCACACAGAGTAAATCCAAACACATAGGGAAAGCCATTTGTAATGCCTAACTACGAGGTTTGACCACGATTGGTTTGTTATTTTTAGTTTGTGACTCATTTTTTTTTCATGTAGTACACAAAGTACCGAAAATTAGGTGCAAAGGTTTAACAGCAGATTAGGAAATTCCCGGAAAAACGGTACAGCAGTCTGGTAGAGTTAAGCACAGTCCACTAAGAATTTACCTACAAGCATTAAGAACATTGAGATGCAGCCTTCTTTACAAACTCAGCTAGGGGTCTGATGTCATTCTTGCCAAGAGGTCAGACTTGTTCTCAATTATGTGCTAAAGGGTTTCCAGTTCAGGACCTGCTTAAGGTGTCTTCCTTCTTATCTTCCTTCTTTTTATGGCTCCAAGTGAGGAGTAAATGACATGATCATCTTGTACCATTTTGTTTGCCTCTGCCATGCTTCATTTATGTTAACATTCTTAGGTATTTTCTATTAAAACAAGACAAATAAAAATGCCCTACACCTATATTGGTTTTTGGCTTTCTGTATATGCATGAGCTAGGATTTCCAGCTGCCGTAGTCACTAAGTAATTTTATGTGCTCTATAAATTCAAGATCCCAATTAAACATTTAATCTTCAGTTAAAAATATAAAAAAAAACAGTAAAGATGTGATGACATATTATGATCGTGGTCAATAGGCAGGTACTCTATTAAAACCTTGAAGTGTTTTTCTTTTTTGCCATGGTTCGCTAGCACAATTACTGCATATTAACTGGAGTCCATGGTTTTGTTACCTTAGCTACTGGATTAAGTTTTTGTGTTAAATGCCTTTGTCTCTGCCGTGACCACTGTAGTTTATGTCGTGATGTTTAAAAAATGAAATTGTTGCTGGCTGTCAGCAACACTACCACATCTGCCTCAGCCCTCACCTTTTCTCTAAAGCACATTTTACATATACATTTCTTATTCTAAAATATGTGTCATGTTGTTATGCTGTCATTTTTGCCTACAGATGCACACTACTAAACTCATTGTGGAAACCAAAGATATTGTGTATAGTTCTCGTCAACCACTCTATAGTAGTGAGACTTAACAGCTTATGCTAAGCAAAATAATTTGTTATATTATTATGATCTTCCACTTACAATGTTTTTATCCTAGTCTTAGCATTTCTAAGAAAAAAAAAATTGTAAGTCTGAGGTAGGACTGGTGAATTAGCACAAAACTATCATTCAGAAATATGCCTCAAGGATGTGCGCTTATAAGGCGTGAACAAAAACTGTGTTATAACCTGGTCGGAAGATGTTGTTCACTACACCACTTGGAGGTCTGCCATAAGGATGGATGATTAGAGGCTGCTACAACAGAAGGGGGAAAAAAAACAGAACCAGATGAAAAATTCCTTCTTGAAGGAAAATGAACTTATTGTTTTTGTTACTTACAAGAAATTATACTGAAATTTAAAGTTTTATGCTAGAAATATTATTGTTGATTGTGAGATTAACCTGAGCCATATTAAAAATACAATAAGGCAACAGTACACATTTTTGTCTGACACATTTCTTTAACCTGCTGAAGTATTTGTGAATGGTTGTCATTTCTCATTGTTGCTATGTATTGCCAACATTTGTTTGTTATTATTCTAAGGTCGTTGTTATCCATGCTTAAACAGTTTGGCATTTTATTTTCCCACATTTCATTTTTTATCCATTGAAGTATGAAAGCAGATCCAGATTTACTTTTATCTATCTATAATCCTTTACATACTTATTAAATGTCAAATTCATGTATTATTTTTATTTCAAAACAGATTGTGTTCATTCCTATTTGGATTATCATGTGTATAGCAGTGATTGGTGTACTCTACGCTGTTGCACTTGCCATCATTGTACTGCGCTCTCCTGACATTCTAAGTGAACAGAGACGTGGAAATGTTTCCACAGCCATTGGTTACTCATTCCTTGTTATCCCACTGCTGGTTTTTGAGGTATGTACAAGGGCGTATTTGTAGTTCTCCAATACAAATTGAGGGAGTCGTGCTGGAGCAACTTTTCTGTCAGACCACTGGTCATGTGTTAAAGTCACCTTGAAGCAAGGATTGAAAAATAGTGAGCTGTGTTCCCATGTTTTAGGAAATGTTCTGGAAAGTAAAGGCATCTGGTATAATACTGACATAACCACCCATCATGTGCATGATTAGTCTATAAAAATTTAGGCTACCCTTCTACCATAAATGCTTGAAAGTATAGAATAAGGCCCTGATATTACAACAGAAAAGATACTGCAATACTTTAGGTTAAAGTTGTTATGAGGGACAGAAATATAACTGTTTTAAAAATATTTCAGTACCGTGTCAGCCATAAAATGCTTAGACACACTGATTGAAAGAAAACAGTCAGAAAAGCAGATTTTGAAAAATTAAGAGAAACATTTTAGTTCATGCACTTCTGAATTAAATATGTTGTGACATTAAATTTATTTGCATTGTTCAACCAAAAAAAAAAAATTCAGCTGTAGATTGTAAATACTTTTAACAAATTTGTTGTTGTTGTCAAATTGGGATCTTCTTCTTTTTCTTCCACTTCTTCTTCTTAAAGTCCATGCCATTTGTCGTTGGTAGCCCTGTCTTTCCACAACCTTCTGTCTCATGTACTTTCAGTCATCTCTGACATGGATGATCTTTTATGCCATGATGTCACACTGTCCAGCTTCTGTTCTCTCAGTCTCCCTCTGCTTCTTCTTCCCTCCATCTTTTCTACCGTCTTAATCTACTCCAGTTTTCTCCTTCTGATCACATGACCAAAGAATAAAGATTGTCTCTTTTTCAGTGGGCAATCAGTTCTCTTCATGAGGCAGTCTCTTTCAAGATGTCTTCATTACTCTTCTTATCTCTCCAGGGTATTCTCATCATTTGTCTATAAGACCACATCTCCGCAGCTTCCAAAACAGTTTTCACTAATTTACTAATTGTCCTTGATTCACATCCGTATATCATTATAGGAAATGATAGACATTGTGGTGTTAGAAAGTGGAAGAATAGGCCTCAGTTTGAATAATGGGAAGACAGAAGTAATGGTGGTATCAAAGAAACAAATTATTCCTAAGTGTGTAATAAAAGTTGATGGTGTTATTTTAGGACAAGTACAGAAATTTAAGTATCTGGGCACATGGATAACATCAGATGGAAGATGCATAACTGAGATAAGAAACAGAATAGGACTGGAAAAAAACTGCATTTTATAAAATGAAAAACATCTTGTGCAATATATCCTTGTCATTGAGAGTTAGAAAAAGAATTCTTGCTTGCTACATACATCCAGTTTTAACATATGGCTGTGAATCCTGGACAATCAGTAGGCAGGCTAAACAATTTCTGGAGGCCTCGGAGATGTGGTTTTACAGAAGAATGCTTAGAATACCTTGGACAGCCAAAAAGAGCAACCAAGAGGTTTTGAAAGAGGCGGGAGCCCGAAGACAACTTAGCACAGACATCAGAAGGAGACAGTCATCATTTTTCGGCTATGTTATGAGAAGAGGGAAAATAGAACATGTTGTGACCACTGAAAAGATATGTGGAAGGAGAGATGGAGGAAGACAATGAGAGAAGATGCTTGACAGTCTTGTTGCATGGCATGGAGGTGTGTCGGCATACGAACTGATACATGCTGCAGGAGATCGCAGATTATGGAGAGGCATGATCGCCCACACCAGTTGGCAAGGCACCTGATGATGATGATGATATCATTATAAGATTTATATAACTGTTAAGAATTATCTTTCTTATCTGTATTGAGACAGAAGGATTGCATAAAATATTCTTCATATTCTTCATCTTGTAAAATGCTGCCTTTGCTTGAGCTATAAAACATTTAACTTCCTTAATCAAAATCCTGACTTCCATATGATGTTATCAGGGCACCCAAGTACTTGATCATATCAACTTGCTTGAGGTTTGTCCCATTTAGGGTCAGTTTTCTTTGTAATTACAATTATTTCTGTTTTTCTGCTGTTCATACTAAATCCCTTGTTTTCACTTTCTGTTACAACTATTATCCAGCATTTCTTCTAGTTGTTTAATTTACAGTGATCAAAACTATATCGTCAGCATATCGCAGGTTGTTATCAATCTGCCCACCATCTGCTACTCCTGGTATACCATGTATGGATCTAATTATTTTTGATTTATTAAATGATGAGGACCACTCTTTCTTTCATCCGTCATGACACTGCAGTTGAGTGTTTATGAGTCCGGAGGCGACATACAAGTCCAATACGTGCCCTGAAGAGTCTAGGACATTGAGGGCAGGGCACATTGTGTATAACCTGCCAGGTATGTTGTCTGGTCTTCCGTTGAGTTAAACTTTCTAAAGCCCGCCTGCTGTGTTGAAATGATGTTTTCACTTTCTATGTACCACTGTTGTCTGAGGTTGGTGATGCGCTCCATTGTTTTGCAGAGACAGCTTGTGAGGCTGATCGGTCTGTAGTTGGAGGCATTGTAACTGTCTTTCCCAGGCTTCATAAGGGGTGACATAATTGCCTCGCTCCAAATCTGTGAAACATTTCCTGTTGCCCAGCAGGCATTAAATATCTGATAAAGCTTTGTTTTGGCAATTGTTCCTAAGTTTTTTTTATCATTTTGTTAGATATACCATTTGCTCCTGGTGACTTCCGCATTTTCAGCTTTGAAATGGCCAACTCCAGTTTATTAAGTGTATCTGGCGCTTCTAGCGCCTCTGATGTTATTTGTTTCTGACTTCTGAATTTTGTCTTTTCTTGAATCTCTTGTTTTTTTCTCTGAACTGATTTCAATGTTGTTATCCAAAGCAAAAGTGTCTGCAAAGAGGTTAGCTGCCTCTTTTCCTGTGACCATGTTTCCATCTTTCTGCAGCGTGATCTTTGAGTTCCACCCTGTGTCCTCATCATTAATTTGTTTTATAAGCTTCCATAACTTTCTTGTGTCTTTTTCAAAGTTCATCGACCTTGTTTTCTTCTGCCAGCTTTCCCTTCTATCCCGCAACTTTGCCCTTACAAATTTTGCTTTTGCATGCTGGAAGCTATTGTGATGTTCTTGGTTTGGCCTGGTCTCTGCTTTCTTTCTGGATGTTTTCACTTTGGTTTGCAAATTTTCTAGTTCACTATTCCAGTATGGTTTATAATGCTTACGGGCACCTCTTAGTGTTGATTCTCCTGCTGCCTGTATTACGCATTTGTTAAATTCTTTACATTGTTTATATCCTGATCTAAGCTGAGATTTCCATACTGGTACGGTGCTTGAACATTGTCCAGTCAGCCTTCTTGTAGTTCCACCTTGGCAGCGTACTAGTTTCTCTGACCTTCTCATTTTCTACATTTAGGAAGACCGGTCGATGGTCACTGCCTTTCAGTTGTTTTGCAACAACTCGTGTAATGTTCTATTCCAGATCTCGAGAGTGAAATGCTAGGTCTGATGTAATAGTGGTATGCCACCATCTCTAGTAGAATGAGGGTGAATCAGTTGGCCTATTGATCAGAACAAGTCTGTTCTTATCCTGCCAATCCTCCAGTTTCTCTCTTCTCTGGTCTGTGTGATCGTACCCCCAGATTTATGAGTGGCTGTTAAAGTCATCACATAATCATGTTTTCTTCTATTGGGTTTGGGTCTAATGCCTGGAAACGATCACTTGGGCAGTTATAATTGATCAGGTGGAAGTCTTCATTTCCAGTTTTTAGTTTCAGAATCTGATATTTTGCTCCATCCATATATACTTCAGTCTTCAGTCATATTGTTCCTTACTAGAGTCAGTATTCCACCTTTTTTTCTGCCTTTCCGGTCTGATCAGAAGTACTGATAGCCTCTGATTTTGAAGACAGTGTCTTCAGTGAGGTGGGTTTCTTGTAGAAAGCATAAATGTATCTGTGCCTTATTTCGAATATTTCTGACTCTAGCTTTTTATTTGTAACCCCCTTTGCATTCCAGTGCATTAATTTGACTCCTTTCTTAGCTCTATTCTCATGTTCCATAACTCCACAGGACATTTGAGAAGGACCTCCAGTAATTTGGGTTGGGCCTCTTCGAGGCAGAGAGCCCGGCACTGCTGCTGCCTGAGAGTCCATCACTTGTGTTGCTGATTTAGACATATTTCCATGTGCGTGGCACCCTGATTGCTGTGGTGCACCTCTTTGCTGGTTGCCTCTAACTTTAGCACCTTGTTTTGCTAGGGTTGACTGTGATCATACTCGAGGATCCGTCTGGTTTTATAATGCCAGATACTCGCCATCGCCCCTTCTCCTGTTGGTTCAAACAGTTCCGCCATGTGAAGACCAGAAGTTGGACTTTTGCTGTCAGAGGTGATGAATGCACATGCCTTAGGGGTATTTGGTGAGAGCTGAGAGCTCGTCCTCAACCCCTGTCCCTTTTAATTTAAAACAGCAGATCTGCTTCTAAACAGGCATTAAGAGCACAATCGTCAACAAACAGAAGATCCCTATAATACGTGATATAACTTTGGTTTTTGCTATGAGCCGCCTTAGATTGAAAAGTTTTCCATCGATGCGATAGCAAATAACAATTCCTTTATCTCGATCTCAAAAAGCGTCAAACAGTAGAGCTGAGAACATGATACTAAATAGAGTAGGTGCAAGTATGCATCCTTGTTTGACACCATTTGTAACATGGAAAGGTTCAGAAAATGCTCCATTTTCCTGGATTCTGGCATGCATTCCATCATGCAGTTGCTGTATTAATCATGATAAATTTTCTTGGGCAGCCATATTTTGCCATGATCTTCCACAGACCCTCTCTGTTAACTGAGTTGAACACCTTTGTAAGGTAAAAAAAAGCCGTGAACAAATTGCAATGCTGTTCTTTATATTTTTTTGTAACTGCCTCTTGGCAAACACCATGTCTATAGTTCCGTGCTCTTTCTGGAATCCGCAATGGCTTTCAGGTAGCAGGCCTCTATCAGGGTTTGTCATAGGTCGATTTAGAAGTATTCTTGCAAATATTTTTCCTCTGATTAATAGCAGGGATATGCCATAGTGATTGTTGCAATCCCGGCGATTCCCTTTCCACTTGTAGAGGTGAATTACTGATGCGTCCTTGAGTTATTGTAGAATGATTTCAGTCTGCCAGATTTGCTGAAAGATCACAAGAAATTCTCTGTGAGGGCTTTTCTGCAAGCTTTTTAAACCTCTGCAGGGATTGAGTCAGAGCCAGGAGCTTTACCACTAGACATTTTGTGAATCGCCTTTTTTAGTTTCTTCCAGGGTAGGTGCTTGTTCAAGTGACATATTTATAGGCACTTGTGGAAGGTAGTTGATAGCGTCATTGTTAACAGATAAAGACTTATTTAAAATATTGTTAAAATGTTCAGTTCATCTTTGAAGAATTTGTTCTTGATTCCTGACTAGTGTTTCCCCATCTGCTTTGAGGAGAGAAAGAGGTCCTGATAGTGCTGATGGACCTTAGGCTGCCTTAAGTGCACAATAACAATTTTTCCAGTCATGTCTCTCAGCAAAGTTTTGGATCTCATCTGCTTTTCTACTCAACCATGTCCCCCATCTGACAAAGCTTACGCTGCACCATTCTCCGCGCATTGTAGAAGGCATGCCTCTTGGATGTGGACTTTGGATTGCTTAGAAAGGCTTTATAGAGGCGATATTTCTCAGCCAGCAGCTCCTGTATTTCCTCAGAGTTTTCATCGAACCAATCATTTTACTTTTTGATGGCAGAACCCAGAATTTCTGTGGCAGTTATAAATATTCTTCTTTATCACTGTCCGGTTAGTTTCCATGTTCTGGTCATCTAGTGAAATGGATTTGAGTTGATTGATCTTCTGGGGTGTAAGCAAAAGGCTGCCTGATGGTTGCCCTCTTAAGCTTGGGAATGTTTAGTCTTTTTACTGATTTCTTTTCTTGAGGACACCTGGTTGGCTGGATACGAATATTGAGTTTGGACACATTGAGGTGATAATCTGTCCAGCACTCGTGTCACTTTTATTTCACTATTTTAATATTTCACTGTAGAAATTGAATGAATCAGGTGATAGTACACATCCCTATATAACACCTTGCTTAACATTTTGAAAAGTTGTCAATCCTTATGGCTGCTTCTTGTTACCAGTGTATGTATTTTTAAAGTTCTCAAAATTATAATAATTTCCTAATATTTCACTTTATCAGATACTTTAGCATAATTAATAAAGCACAAATACAGATCTCTATTCATGTAAATAATTCTTTCTGAAAGTGCTCTCAAGATAAATATGGCGTTGTTTGTGCCTTTACCTTCAACAAAACCACACTGCTCTTTTGCAATTTCTGGTTTAATTTTGCACATTATTTTTCTAGTGAAAATTCTCATTAATATTTTGTTTACATGACTGATTAAATTATTGTTCGATGTTCTCCACAATCCACTGCACCAGGTGTTTTTGGTACTTTTGCACCTTAAGAGATTTCAAAAGCTTATCAGGTACTTGTCCACGGTTATAAATATATTTGAACAATTTTGTCAAAACTTCTAAACCCAGTTCACCGGCAGCTTTTAATTCTTCAGTCCTGATGCTATATGGCCCTGGAGATTTGCATTTCTTCATGTCGTTTCTACTTCTGCTTTCAGTATTGGCAGTCCTTCCCAATACTCCTGACTCTCGATGTCTGGTCTGCTGTTAGTAAGTTAGTGGTTACTGTTCTGGCATCACAGCAAACGAGCTTGGCCCATAATTGCTCAACCGCCTATGCCAGTGATTCCTGTCACAAACTGAGTCAGATATGCTGGATACTTCAAGTGAATGCCGTAGCCATACAAAGTGTCCTCAGTCAGCAAAACACACACAATTTGATCTGGCAAACCATAAGGTGCATGCCTCCTTAAACACACTGAGAGACTAGGTGTCATTGCTGAAAATCAACTTTATTCAACGAATAGCTCGGCAATGAGTAGATTAAAACTATTCCTGACCATGCTCCACATGTCCTCGGCCAAGTTGCAGCCACGGTCTGCTAGTATCTTCCTATAACTCTTTTGTATACTCTGTCCATTTTTCAATTACCTTCTCATTGTCTATTAATATTTCACCTTCTTTTGTTTTTAAGCAACTACTTGTACATTTTCCCAAACCTGATAGTTCTTGTATTCTTTTATACATGTCTTATGTGTTCTTTCTTTGTTCCGCAATTTCTTTGCACTTATTTTTTAGCCATACTTCTTTTGCTGCATTACATTTACGTACAATCTCTGTATTTATTCTTTTATATTCATGTTGGTTGTGTTTATTTTTTCTTCCAATTTCTGTCAGATGTAAAATTTCCTCTGTCATCTATTTTTTCTTTGCTATCTTCTTTACTTCTGGTAATCTTTCTTTTGGTGTAGCATTGTACCTATTTTGAACAGTAATGGTGTATCTCTTACTTATTACTTGATTTGATTCAAGCATTCATATTTCTTGGAACATTATTTTAGTTTCTTCTGCTTTATCCTTAGTTTTCCAATGACTGGCACACAGTCACTATTACAGTCTGCACCTGGTCTTGTTTTTACTGACAGCAAACTGTTTCTGAATTAACTGTTTATGAGTATGTAATCAATCTTGTTCTGAAAATTATTTCCGGGGTTTTTCCAAGTCCGCAGGCTAGCGGAGGGTAGGAGGCACATGACATCTTCTGTTGGTAGCGTTGACCCTACCCCACCACCCTATTCTTCCAGTTACTTCCTTAAAATGTTGGGGGAGATGTAAGGATCTTCTATGTGCTCTTTCCAATACATTGTTTAAGTTGGTCTCCCTTTCTTTAAGGCTGTACTTGATGCTGCTATTTGCATCTTTCTTGTGCTCTTTCCAATACATTGTTTAAGTTGGTCTCCCTTTCTTTAAGGCTGTACTTGATGCTGCTATTTGCATCTTTCTTGTGGTCTTTCCCTTGCTCTGTATCCATTATATTTCTTCAGCTTGGCTGTGCAGTTGGTACCAGGGCATTCTCAGCAGATAGTCAAACCATCTCATCTGTTGCATACAAATACTTCAGTATTGCACCAGGTGTTTATACCCTGTCTCTAACCACCTAGTTCGGCATTAAATAGTCCACTTTATTCCAGTCTTTCAACACTGTTCTGGCAACAATTGTTTCCATGAATTTCCCTACCATATTCTGAAGGCTGATGATTCTGTAGCCATTTATTTTTGTGTGATCTTTCCTAGGCTTATAAACAAATCTGAAGTAGCTATAAAATAATGTCTCTCCTAGGCTTTTTAAGTCTCTGTACCTAATGCTTTCAGGCCTGGGGCTGTGTCGAACAGGTCTTCAGTATTGCTGTGATGCAATATGGAGGAAGAGGTCTATAGAAGAAGACTTGAGAGTTAATTAAGGTACTTTCTTTTCATGTGAAACATAGTTTTCATTGTCTGTAATTTTTTTTTTTTTTTTAACTTTGCAGATACTGCTGGTGAATCGTTTAGACCACGTTAATGAATTTGAGTTCATTACTGTTTCCATTCCATTGGTAATTTCTCTTGTGTCACTAATGTGTCTCTCATTTGGAGCAAAGGGGGGCAATTGCTGTAAGTATGTAAATACCAAATTGTTTTAATTAATACCTGTCAAAATCCTAACATATGAACTCTGGATTCCTTAATTTTTTTAAAGTTAGCAGACATATAATAAAAGATAGGTTGTAGTTATTTCAAAACATCACCTAAAGTTACTAGATCTGCTATATCTTGTCCCCAGATCTGCTATATCTTGTCCCCAGATCTGCTATATCTTGTCCAGACTCACTATCAGTACATCAGTACACTTCATGCACTAGCAGTTTTATTCACATTATTAATTTCAGATTATCATTTAAAGAAACTTAAATTCAAGTAGTGTTAAAAATAAAACATTTTTCAAACTTGATTTTTATTTTGAGTATTTATTAAGCACTAATCGTATGTAAGATTTTGTTTGTCATATTTAATAACACTTTTCCTTTTTTCTTCTTTTTCGAATCAGATACTTGTAATGGCTGTAAAGGGTATTTTGAAAAATTAAGATAATTTAAAAACAACCTGCTGAAATTCATTGACTGAATAATTTAAGAATCAACATAATACCACATTGGGTTTATCCATAGATGCCCCACCCCATAAAAGGTATTATAAGTTGTAGATGCTGACTTTTCAAGGAGCACACTGGTTGTAAAAATGTTTGTTATCTGTTTGTATCCACACTTACCTTCAGATCCATGCATCCTTAAATAAGTGGCTTTATCTACTGCTGTATCTTCCACTAGCACTAACATATAGACTTCAGAGTGTTTGCATATCTACAGAAGAAACTTTGAAATATTGCAGCCTATCTTTGGTGTCAAGCATGTACATTTCACACCCTAAACTTGGATCACGACCCTGTTGTTCTAAAAATGCACATAAGACTTTAAAATTCTGGTTGAAAAGCATTAAGGAAATCTCAGATAGACATATCAGCATTGAGAAAATCTCAGATAGACATATCAGCATTAAGGAAATCTCAGAAAGACATCAACATTGAGCAACCAGATATACGTCATCAGTATCTGGTGGAGGTGAAAAATAAATATCACAAGCTTATTGTTGAAAACATGGAACAATATCGGCATGAAAATCCAAAGGAGAAAATAAGTTTAGAGTGGGAATGTTTTAAAACTAATATACAAACAGCAAATGTCAACTTACCACTGAAAGAAAGAAAGAAAAATCAAGTATGATTGACTCAAGAAATTATGACTAAAATGATTTAAAGAAAGAAAGCTACCAAAAATAACTCTTGGAAAATTTAACAGGAAATGGCTGCATCATAGGAAAAGATGGAGACATTTTAGTTTATAAGAAGGATATTATCACACTCACGCTGGGAGTCCTGGACACTCCGTAGCAGGCCAAACAATTTCTTGAGGCCTCAGAGATGTGATTTTATAGAAGAATGCTTAACAATTTTTCACGGCCAAAAAAAAGCAACCAAGAGGTTTTGAAAGATGCGGGAGCCTGAAGACAACTTATCACAAACATCAGAAGGAGACAGTCGTCAATTTTTAGCCATGTTATGAGAAGAGAAAAATTGGAACACTGGAAAGATCTGTCGAAGGAGAGATGGCGGAAGACAACAAGAGAAGATTCTTGACATTCACGTTGCAAGGCATGGAAGTGTGTCAGCACACGAACTGATACATGTTGCAGGAGATAGTGAATTGGGGAGAAGTATGATCGCCCATGCCAGTTAGCAAAGCATCTGATGATGATGATAATCACAAGGGGACTGAATACATGGAGGACCTTTTTTGAGATAAAAGAGGCATCAGACCAGAACTGATTAATCTTTATGATAAACCAATCATTTAAAAGCTGAAGTGGAGAACACTATTAAATACATAAAGCATTGAAAAGCTGCAGGTCCTGACAGAATATCAGCAGAAATGATAAAATCATTTTCCAGTTTAATGTTGATAGCATCATAATACTGGCATTACTGAAATTTGTAATGATATTTATAATACTGGCTACATTGCAAAGGATTTGAAAACGTCTATTTTCATCACAGTGCCCAAAAATGCAAAAGCCATTGAGTGTGAAGAATACAAAACAATTAGTTTAATGAGCAATACAACTAAAATATTTCTCAAGATCATACAAGAAAGAATTTAAAATAAAATAAATAATGAAATGCCTGTGGAACAGTTTGGATTTTGGGAAAAATAGTGGCACCACGAAAACCATAATTTGTCTAAAGATGCTGACTTAAAAATATACAGAAGTCCAGAAATGTTTCAGGCCTTTGACAGGGTGCTACGTGAAAAACTTATTGCATGCCTCCAAAAAGTAGGATTAGATGGAAAGGATATTAGAATTATTAGTAACCTATACTAGGAACAAATAGCAACAACATCACCTCACAACAGAGATAAAAAGAGAAATATAACAGGGATGTGTGTTATCCCCAAACCTTTTCAACTTATATACATAAAACATTTTAAAACAAGTTTAGGAATTGCCTGGAATTGCCTGGACTGAATATTAATGGCAGAACAATAAACAGTCTGAGATATGCGGATGACTCAGTGTTACTAGCAGAAACCGAGCAGTAGTTACAAGACCTAGTGGATGAAGTCAATAGGCGGAGTGCAGAGTATGGTTTAGATAGTAACATGTGAAAACAAAAGCTTTGGTATAAACAATGGAAAAGAGTGACCAACGGTGAACATCACAGTAAAGTGAGAGATATTAGAACAAGTAACGAGTTTCTTCTGTCTAGGACACGTAGTAACAGATGGTGGAAGATGTGAAACAGAAATAAAAAAAATAATAGGAATGGCTAAAACTATCTTCAATATAATGAGCAAATTACTGACAGCTAGAGAGATAAACAACACACTAAAAATGAGAATCATCAAATTAAAATACATAACATGCTTTTAGAAATCATACTTGAGGGAAAAGTCTAAGGCAAGAGAACAAGAGGTAGGCAACGATACAAGTGGGAGTACGACAGCAAGGGATGGACGAACAGCATTCTGAGACACTGTAAAATCAGGACAAAAAACAGAGTATGTTGGAGATTATTGCATCAACCTTCACTGTGGGGATGGCACCTGACTGATTGATTCAGTTTATTTAATTGACTACTGTATTGTTTCAGTAACAAAATGTGCACTATATAAAATAATATGGCTTTCCATAGTTAAGGAGAATTGTTAAATCTGAAATTGTGCTAAAATATTTAATGGAAAATAAAAGTATATATCTTTTTATTTTCATTGTGTTTATATATTCTGCTTGTTATACAAAATTTTATTGGACAAACATAGGTATATTTCCCAGTCATTGGATTCTGTGCAAGAATGAACCTTTGTGAATAATTAAATACAATAAAATATATTCATCACCAGATATTACAGAAGAGACAATTCTGTGCTATCTGCTGATTCACATATTTTATTGCATTTAATTATTCACAAAGGTTCATTTTATCTGCTTGTGTGTCAACAGGGCAGATAATTGCCAAATTACTTGATTAGCGTTGGCACATCTCAAGCTAATTTCTCTGTCCAGTTTTCTGTTGCATGTGAAAATTGCTCTCAAATACTTAAATTCCTCTGTTTATCTTAAGGTGTTGTTTAATTTTGTTTCTAAATTGTCTTTCTGTTTTCCTATCACCATTGTCTCTGTCTTCGTAGTGTTTATTTTCGTATTATAATCCTCCCTTTTGTTACTAATTTGATTTAGGTGTTGTGTACTTTTTTCTATAAGTACCTGGTCATCAGCGAATAGTAATTCTGTAATATCTTCTTCATGATTGAAGTTTGTTTCCTTACATATAAAGAAGTGGTGATAGTACCCAGCCCTGACGCACACCAAAATTCACTATAAAAGTTGTTGACAATCCTGCCTTTGATCTAATGCAGCATTTACTACGTGTGTATAGGCTTTTACAAATAATAATGAGATGATTGCTGTTTCCCTTTTTTCCCATACATTCCAACATAATTTTCCTGTCGGCTCTATTGAAGGCTTTTTCCTTGTCTATGAATGTCAAGAAACATGTCTTTTCATGTTCTATTGCTCTCTCTGATAGTTGTCTCAATGTATAAATGGCATCTGTGCAACTTCTGTTTCATCGAAAGCCCATCTGTGCTTCTGAAAGTTGATACTCTATCAATGGTCTTGACCTTCCTTCGATGATCTTAGCATATATTTTTCAAGTGTGACTGAGAAGCAATATTTCACTGTAGTTAGTACAGTCCCTCTTACTTTTCTATTATTTTTCCATAGCTGGACGATGACAGCAGTTTGCCAATCTGATGGTGTTTCTTAATTTTCCCATGCCACCTGAAATATTCTCTTTAACCACATTGCTCCCGCTTCTCCTGCTACCTTGATGGCCCCAGCTGGTAGATCATCAATACCTGTTACCTATAGTCTAGGGGCGGTATGAATGACATATTCTACTTCATCTAATAATATACCTTGTTCTAGTTTCTCTGCCATCAGTTCCAAGTTGTTTTTATGTTCTTTCCTGCTTTCATCTGTTTTATTGCAGCTAAATATTGATTCAAAGTAATTACTCCACCTTGCTAAAATGTTGTTAGGTTCTAATAAAGGTTGGCCATCTTCATCATTTAAAATTTCTTTTGGGTTGTATTCTTCATTCATTTTTCTTATGCTTTTGATATTTTTGTAGTACTTTTTCAATGCTGTTTTTTCTTCTTCAGCCAGCTTGCTTCCAAACTTTTCCCATTAATCTCTTTTTGCTTGAAAACAGTGAGTGAAACAGGGAAACAAGACGTTCCACACTAAGAAATATTGTTGTGAGTGATAATTTAAAAAAAACAACTGATGATATAGAAGTTTGGCGATCTCTCTGGCAAACCTTTACAGGCTAAGATTAAAGAGGAGTGACTAAGTTTTAAAAAACAAATTGGAGTAAAAAATATGACAACTGGGAACATCGATAGAGTGGATATAAACTAATAATTACATATTCTCAGAGAGGTCTGTTTTCCTGCAATAGAACAGATGGTAGGTCTCATCTAAAGACATCTCCATAAAAGCTTCCTGTAGAGTATCAAGTCATAATACAGAATCTGTTCTGTATGCCCTAGTGTCTTGTCATGTTCATTTTCTTTCCACCCCTTTTCATTTGACTTTGTTTAAGGGCATTTTCAACTTCAGATTCCAATGTCTTTGGTTAATTGTCTTTTTCAGTTTATTCTGGTATGGTTTTTCATCCAGTGTTCCTCAGTTGAACAGCTTAGTAAAATATTCTTTTCATTTCTTTTTAATATGTTGAGTGAGTGTTTTTTGTTTTTTTAACTCTTGTTAATTATAATGGATGGGCTACATTTTTCTTCTCTTCGTCACATTGCTTTAAAACCTCTGTAAAACTGTCTTGGTGACTCAGTGCATAGTGGCCACCCTAAACGTTCTACCTCGTAGTTCTTTAACGTTGCCGGTCCGATGTTCACAAGAGTCAGTCCTATATGTATTTCTTATATAGTAGCAATCAGTTGCACCATTGTTGGCTTGCTAGGACCGTAGCTTAATGGGGCAGTAGAAATCTTACCTGGTTGGTGCCCATCTTCTTCCAGGTGAGCCATTCCCTATTAGCCTAAAAATTGCTACCCAATAAAGTGAAATTGTCTGTTACTTTTATTGGTTTGTTCTCTAGCATGACATATACATGATCTATTGTTGGTATCTGAAATATATTTGTTCTCTCATAACTTATATGTAGTCCTATTTTTGATGCTGTAGATGACAAATCATGTTTTTCTTTGCATGTTTATTATTTTTACTCAACAGAACAATATCATCTACAAAATCCAGATCTTCTAGTTGTCTATTCTCTACCCGATCAATGACAGTATTGCTTTTGCACCATTTTTTCAATTCCCAATCAGTGGCTTCTCTGAACAACAAGGGAGATGGAATGCTGTCTTATTTTACTCCATCTTCTACCAAAAACCAGTCATTTAGACCATTTTCAGTGTGCTTATTATGTTGGCTGGTATGCCGTAGCATTCCAAAATTCTCCATAGTGAAATTCTATGTAAGCTGTTAAAAAGCCTTCTTGAAATCAATAACATTTAGGATGAGAGGTTGTTTGATTTTCAGTGTGTTACTTTTATGATTTTGGATGCTGTATTACAAAAGTTATTGCACTCCTTTGTGAAAAAGTCCATATTTCTGATCATGAGGATATCACCCACAGGGTGGCAGGCTGATTGTAGACATTGTGTTGTACTCCAGCAGTACAGTGAAACTTACCTCATATTCTTTAAAAAAGAAAACTGTATTGGTGATTTATATATACATGTGTGTGTGTGTGTGTGTGTGTGTTATACATACATACTACACACATATGGGCATGGATGCAATCAGTCATAAAAGTGGATTCGGAATTTTATCAGGAATTTTAAAGTATTAGAATTATTTTTCAAGAAATATAATTCCCTAATTTTATACTGTTAAAAAAAAAAATGCAGAGTTACTGAAAGGAACAAACCTACTCACAATTTTTACATTCTGCATCTTGGTAATGCAGTAAGTGAAGTTACTAAAATTTCACACAAGAATATCTTAGGGTTACACCAATCATTTGACATGTTTTTTTTGCTTCTGGGTCATGATAGTTTTTAAACGTAGGCCTTTCCTGTTAGTATGGTGTGGATCGGTGACTGGCATCTCTTGGGCATGGATGCAATCAGATATCTGATGTCGGCCTGTGGGATGGCTGCCCTGAAGTGCCTGAAACAGATCACAACCATTGGCTGGAGCAGCGTTTCGGTGACAAATACGTCTTAGCAGCTCATCCCACAGGTGCTCAATCGGACTCATGTCTGCAGACAAGGATGGCCAGGGAAGGGTTTGAATATTATTGGCAGCCAGGAACTGCATGGTCAATTGTGCAGAATTGGGTCTGGTGTTGTCCTTGTGTAAAAGATATTTGTTGGCATCCCAAAATGGAAGGACATGTGGTTGAAGAATTTCATGGATGTATCGTTGCACATTCAAGCCTCCTTCAATGTGCACCAATTGAATCCTTCCTTTGTAACTGATCATTTCCCATACCATTACACCTCCACCACCGTGCAGCAGAGCTTCATCAATACAGTTTTGGGCTAAACCTTCATTTTGTCCACGGTAGACCCTACACCGTCTATCATGATGCTGCAACAAAAGAAAGATTCGTCACTAAACCAGACACGTCTCCACTGATTGTCACTTGCCCAGGGACGATGTTGGTTGGCCCAAAGAAGTCGATTTTGGCGGTGGCGACGCGTAAGGATAGGTCCTCGGTGTAGTTGTCGAGCATAAAGTCCAGCATCATGCAGTCTGTTCTGAACAGTTTGATCAGACACATGACGTCCTGGAGGCAATGCCTGTGCAGTTGAGGAAGCTGTTGTAAACCTGAGGTGACGGAGCCGAATAAAGTGATTCTCCACTGTTGTTGTCACTCTGGGTCGCCCACTGCGATGTCATTCTTCAACTGAACCAGTAGCTTGGAACCGGTGCCAAAGTTGACTGATGGTACTCTGGTGCACGTTTAGATGCCTGGCAACCTGATTTTGACTTTCTCCTGCCTGCGATCGGCCAATAGCAACATTCCTTAAATTTATCGATAGAGGCGCCATTCACGACTGCTTGAAAATGAACTGATTGTTTTTGTGTAGCGTTATCCTTTTATAGGGTTTCAATTGCGTAGGCAGTTCTAGTGTTCACCGCAAATTGTGTTGCTTTCTCGTGCACACATCGTGAGCTATGCTCACAAATATGGTCTTAAACACATTTGACAACTGCGTTGTAGTGATTACAAAAACCCACAAAATTCACACCCGCATGTCCACTGGACACTGTAAACAACATTTGAGTCTGCTTTTCACATACCCGAGTACGGTATTTTTTTACAAACTAATAAAAATGCGCAATCGGATAACTATGTGTTTCCTTTTTTTTTAACAGTATATTTATAAAGAAATATTAAATCAGTACTTAATTATTTGCAGCTAATTTAAGGATTGATCATTAAAATTATAAATATTAAAAGGAATTCTGACACTTAAAGTTAAATCTTACATCACGAATGTGAATATTAAGTTTCCATGTTATTGTGGAAAGATGATTAAGCAGTTTTACACAGCAAGTTCTAAAATTTATGTATGCTTTTAATTAAACATGCAAAAAAGTTATACCTTATTTGATATGTATTCTTTTCATTAGGGTGGTTTGGCATACGCAAGGACTTCTGCCATTTCTTGCTAGGTGTGTGCCCATGTCTACAAGAATATGGAAACATATCATATTCCATTCAGAATAATGATAATGAGCCTCAGCCACGGATACCTGATGAAAGTAGATCAAATTCAAATTTTGGTCAGACAGAGCTGAAAACAAAGGTGAAAGAAAAAAGTGATCAGTCAAGTTCAGTTGTTCCTGTTTTATCTATAGAAGTACCAGATTAACAAGTACCAACTAATAAAGAGTGTGCAAATAGAAATGGACATTTGATATCTGACCGGGACAGGACCAGAACAGCTACATCTACAAATTCTCAGGCAACTTTTCACCTGTGAGATGTATCCGGTTTTTTTTTTCTTTCAACTTCTCAAGACAAATAATGTTTCCATAATATGTATTTTTCTAGGACTGTGGTTTTAGAATATTGCTGAAATTGACTGCTGATATAAGTTTGCAAGATAACTCGTCAAATATTTTTGCAGCTTTCATTCACAGCATTGAAATATTTTGCCTAAAAATTTAATTAAATGTTCATCCTACTGTATTAAATCAAGTTGTTAAATCTTTCTACTAACAATTTATTATAAAGAGCATTAAAATTATGAAAGTCATTGTTGAAAGACTTTGTCTTTTTTGGTGTGAAACTCTCTCAACATACCTTCAGCTCTAATCGGTTTCACGCAATACTAGGTTATTGTTGCTTGAATTTCAGGGTCAGTGTACATTACTAATAGATATTTATAATATTGTACATTTAAAAATTATGTGTTTATAGTTCAGGTTTGTTTATGGAAATGTAATTATTGTTGTTGCAATTATTTAAAATGGTTTATTGCTCTATAATGAATAGCCATAGTCAAGATAAATGGAACATCTTCCACAATGACTATGTTAGTAATTGCTGTTCTCTAAATACTGAACAGTTGTGTACATTTATAATTTCATAAGGTAAATTCTTGTCAAAGTACCCCCTCTCCCATTAACACCTCCTTCCTCTTCACCTTTCTCTGACCTTTCCTCCTCTTCTCTACTGAGCATCATCAAGTTCTTGCAGACTTACCCAGCATGAAATTGTTCATGGGCTACACCTTTCTTACCACAATTTAGCTTTTTTAAGAATTTGTGTCTTCCCCTATGTCTCTTTCCATTAATGTAAGACAAGATTAGGAGTATACATTTGATTTGATTTTTTTTTTAGCCGAGACATTCAAGTGTGCATGTTGATAGATGAAATGCTGCTAACAAAGCAGATGTAAAGACTGTCTGGGATCATATTAACAGTGTAACAAAATGGATAGAGTATTCATTTCTGGGGAGACTGATTCAGGTCTGGACAATTTTCTGAGCACAAGCTTACTTCTAATCAAATTGCAACTGGTACCATCGGTATGTGAACTCTGTTGACTACTCAGGAAGGAGACGAGCATGCATGAGAATGACTAGAATGCATTGATGTTCCTTCTTTATTCATCGATTAATTAATTCTTTCCATAAATGTTTCCAGTTTTCACATATTCCAGTTGAGGTGGCTGCGGGGTCTTGGAGCATGGTGCCCGCTTTGAGTGCTAGAGGTTCCGGTTTCAATCCCTGGTAAGGGCTGGAATTTTTTGAAGTGGACTTGGACTTCTAGTAATTCCCCCTCATCTCTAGGATGCCCATGTGCATTGTTGCGCACTTAAAAAAATCCCTTGGCAGTTGGAAATAGAAAAGAGTAGCCTAACTGTGCTGCCCAGGCAAAATTTTAAGTTAAAAAGACTTGAGTTAGAAGAAGAACGGAGCACTTATGGGTATCACCCGTGTACCATGATGTTGATCCCTTGTTCAGAACCTCAAAAACATATTCCAGTTGGACTCTTCTCATTATAGGACCCCCCCCCCCCCCCCCCCCCCCGCTTTCCACCTTGGCCATTGCCTCCTTTTGATGTGTATGCTAAATTATTGTTTTGCTGTTTCAAAATGTTTAGTTGCTAATTTTGACTATCTAGTGAATTTTGAGCAATAATTTATTATCTCTAAGGCATTTAAGGATTTTGTTTTTATTACTTGTTTTCTAATTATCCAGAATTCACAGCAATATTCTGAAACTGGTTCTATGAACCATACATATAGTCTTTTTGCTACAGTGTCAGGACATCTGTTATTTGGTGATAACAATGTTAGATCTGTCCAGCACAAGCATCTTTTCCTCACCTCCTGATTTACTGGAAATTGTTTAGTTCTCTCCATATACTCAGAGTAGTTATTCAGCATGTAATTTGATGCATTCTGTACAGGCACCATTATGAACATTTGTAGTTTATTAGTAATTGTTATATTTATTCATTATTTGTGTTTCTGCTCCATACAGAAGTTTTGATTTGATGTTAAAATTAAATATTCAGGTTTGCTTTTGACTTCTATAGATTTCCTAGTGCTTTGAAAGCTCCCATTACTTTTTGTACTCATATTTGTATATATTTATAGGATTTCCTATTTGTGTGTAATGCACTGCCTAAATAAGTGTATGATTCTACATTTTGATGTGGAGTTTCACTGAGGGAGATTGGGTAATTTTTTTCTTGATTTATTATCTAATGCTATGACCTCACTTGGAACTTCACTCCTGTTATGGATTTCAAACACACTTAGGCTTCAGTAGTGACCACCAACTGGGATATACTGAGCCAGTAGAGGAGACAAAACAAAAACATCTGTCTCCTGGTTCAACCAGGGCTGCCAGTGGAATTTTTATTAAAATCTAAGCTAAGCTGACCAAAAAACCCAAGCGATACTTAAGCAAAGAAAAAACCCACGATTGATTGAAAAACAGTATACATTAAATGGTTACAAAATGAAACATTTACCCACTTTCATAGACAGATATTCATTTTTTTAAGCCCAAAATCTGAAGTGAACCAAAGGCATCATATAAAAACCCAAATCTAGGGGCAAAACTTAAGTATTGGCGGCCCTGCGTTCAACAATGCTTGAAAAGGAAGTGGAAATATCTAAAAGGGGGAAGTAACTGATCCTCCAGATTCTCACTCCTCTTTTTCACTTTATAATTAAGAAATTTATAATATTGCTATTACAGAGCAATCATTAATAGGTAAGAAACAGTAGTCTAGACAAGCTCATCACACACGTGCACACAACTGGTGTGTCACTCATACATTCCAGAATGATTTGCATAGCCTCATTTTGTATGCAGTAGTTTCTCCAGCTGAGTCTTTGACATTATTAGCATCCCAGACCATATTCATTGACTTCACTGAGTGTGTATAACATCCCTTGTTCTACATCCACTGCAACCAAAACCTTCAATATATTAAGGTCTCTGTCTTGGCTCTTATGATGACGGCATCTATGTGGTCCTTGAAAGACAATCCTCTTTCAAATGTAACTCCTAGATATTTTAGTGTGTTTCTCCTTTTGGCCACTAATCATTTATTGTGATCTTGGGGGCATCTGCTTTGACAGTTCTGTTGTGAAAACCATAATGTTGATGCTTTTGTTGTGTGCTAAAGTAGGAAGACAGCACAGGACCAAGTGTCCTGGATATGATTCACACTCCAAACTGTTGCACCCAACGTACGCACAAAATGTCAGGAAAACTCAACATCGTGTTGCCGCCATATATGCACATTTATTGTCACAAGTATACAAACCCGCACACAGAATAATGCACGTGAAGCAATCATACACATGTCCAATCACTGGCTAATCATGAAATGAATGTCCCACACTTCGCTCCCTCAAACTGATTTTCAGCTCTCTCTGGGACAGCCTACACTAGCTGCCACTACCGCTGAGCTGACCGCTACAGTGCCTAGGTCTCCAGCTCCCCTCACTTCAGGGCTTGCTGTAAAGATGAACAGGTTACATCTTCTACTCAACTTGACCTCCATTGCTCTATGTGTAGCAGGCACTGTCACATCAGCTGACTGGAAAACTTCACAGTGCTTGATCTCTAGAATGTGCATGCAGCACACCAGCCTGGTCGAAGGAACCACGATGACCTGCAGGACTCCCAGCTCTGAGTCCCCTTCAGCACACAGCTGTCACCGACATCTCTGTTGTCTTGTTTCAATAGTGATCACTACCACCACACATGCGTGGTCACTCAAGACAGCTTCTTCTCGAAGTAGTCCAGCTCTCTTGGCCCAACTCTGCCAACTAGACTTCTCCTCCTTCGACTGCACTCTCGACTGTCTTCTAGATCAGTCTCTCGCGAGTATTTCCACCTCACACGTTCTTAACTCAACTGTTCAAGCTCTCTCCTTCAACTGAACTCAACCATAGTATATACACATGCCTGCTCCTTGTGAGCTCTTCCGTGAACAAACAATGCTCACAGTTATGCATGCTTCCCCTTCATTGAGAAACCTATACTTTCCGTGCGACTGCTGCTATCCATGCACTAAGTATGATAATTCACCTCATGCTGGGCTGACACTTCGTGGACCAACTGGTCCATCTGGCCCTAAGTCAACACCGGCTCATAATATTGACTTAAGCCGAACTGAAATCTCCTGGCTTAAGTCCGCACAGCCCCAAAAATTGACTCAGGTCACCGGATATTCTAGTGGTCTCATGAAAACAGTGTCTCTGTACACCAATCATCAGTTTTCTTCACCACCATTTGGAACTCCTCTGATATACTCTTCCTATTCCTCCGGTGTCTATCCCCTGTCTATAGGCCAGCACATCATGTGTGATAGAGCATGGGTTTGAAGTCCAGGAGACCTGTCACATCGCTACTTTGCATTTATATAGGACCACTGCTATTCAGTTAACAATCTAGACTTTCATATCCAGCAGCATATGTAGAATGGCTTCCATGTCTGACCCTTTTAAGCATGTTCACGATGCTTATGAGGTGGGTTTTTCTTCACAGCACTCTGGGCACATCTACAGGTGCTCAGATTCCCCCTTCAGCATATACATCAGTATCCCACTGTTAATAGTGTCAGTTCCATGCTGGGTGGCAATACTCATACATCAGTCAACACTCTGACTGCATGTATGTGCCTGCAAGATGTTACTGTTCAGTTCAGACATGTCGACCTCAGACACCAGCAGTTTGTCACACACCATAATTACCTGTCTGTGATGATGCTGAATGTAGAAGCATTAAAAACCTGCAGCTTTAACTGTCTTATTGCCTAGGCACATTCTCTGCAAGACCATGATGTCATTGCCCTACAGGAGGTTTTTTGAGTATAGATCACCACTGATGAAAAGA